GGTTGGAGCGTGAGAAGAGTTTCCTACCAACATCATATCCTACTCTTCCTGCACTAATGGATTGACTTCCTTTGCAGGTACAAGCGGCACCTGAACCGTAGCCTTAGGCAACTGATCTTTAACCTTCACGACGTCTTCCTCGAACTTTGGTGCCTCGTCTTCTTCCTTGTTCTCTTGAAAAAGTACCTCTGTTCCCAGACTATCTTCATCAAACACATTTCTTGAGCTGCTTAGGTCGATACTCCCTAAACTTAGTGCGTCGTCTGAATCAATGGCACTGAAATCTTCCTCCTCAGAATGAGAAAACAACTCCAGCCTCTCTAAATCCCTTTGTCTGATACACCTAGGGTTTCTTTTTTCCGGCGACACCGTGTTCGTCTTCTCCGGCGCGACCCATCGTAGTGAGTTCCCAGGTACAGGGAGATTCAAAAACTGCTGGTTTCGGCCTGTGGAGCTCAACGAAGATGATGATAGATGGTTCGTCTTCTCCAGCGCGACATACTTGTGAAGCACGTCTCCGATTTTCCTTCTTCAGCAAAGCTTTTGAATTTCCAAAAGCTTGCTCTCCCTTTTTTGTGTAAGTGTCTAACCCTTGCAGATCTACCAATCCCCTTCTGCCACGTAATGCTTCTTCCTCAACCTCCCCATCTTCCTCCCTTCGAGCTTCCCTCCACATTCCACCTTCAATGGAGGAAGCCAACCAGACCTCCATGAAGGCTCCTTCCACTCTCAAGTTTACCTTCCTGGGAATTTCCTCCGGCTTTACTCCATTTAATAATATAGCTGCAGACCTGAGGTCTCCCCAAAAGGCACCGGCCAGTCTTGCTCCGCACAGTACTGCAATGGCTTCTGCAACTTCAACCTTCCAAAGATGGAAAGGTAGCCCAACCACACGCACTGTTACTCCATCCATTATCATGGATTCCTTCAAGTTTGACAAGGGAGACCATCTGAATATATTCACAGATCCCAGTTTATCTTGCAGACATACAGCCTCAAGATTTGGCTTGTTATCCAAAGGATCAAGTACCGCTTTGTGCTCATTAAACGGGGTTAATACATATGTAGTCTTCATCTTCAGCTGTTTTGTCACCAAATCAGCAATCTCCTCCCAGCTTCTCCCTGGTCTGTCAACTTCAACAATCAGTTTGTTCGCCCAATCTCCTTTTTCCTCCGATACCAGTATGGCCACTCTATTTCCATCCTGCACCAAGGTAGGAACCATTCGGTTAGGGGGTTCAGGATTCACTACTGTTTTCGAGTGAACCTTTTTTTCCACCTGATCCAAACCTTTCTCCTTTTCCATTTTCGTTCTYGATAGAAACTCTCTCAAGACTTTGACGATTTCAGTCCACCCTTGGCTCTTTCTTCCTTCTGGTACAYAGACCATTTGCTTCCTATTGTTACCAAAATGCTCTGTAAGTGCTATGAAACAACCCTTATGATTTTTCCTGCATTCCACCTCATACCTCCATCCCATCTCTGTTATGAATTCTTTCCAACATCTCTCATTTCCCTTTGCAGTTGCTGCATCTACAAAGTTTAAGAACCATTCTACCATGTTTAGTCCTACCAACAACACCGTAGCCAGCTTAGCTTCCCTGATTTTCAAGCTAGTCTGCCCGCTAATTTGTAGTTCCTCCAGTAGAAAGTTCATTGCCTCCACCTTGAGATACTTCCTCCACCGGTTGGCTTCCACAAACTTCTTCTCCTCCATCGGTTCTCCCCCACTTGTCTCACAGATGCATTACTTAGCTAGCTTGCCATTGTTTGTTACCAGTAGCCATAGTGGTAATGTTGGCAGATCCCTTTGATCATTTTTTGATGACAATGAAAACAGTGAGGAGCACAGTTTACAACTAAGATGCTCTAAAAGAACATGAGAGGATTTATTATCAGCATGGCATATGAAGAAAAAAGAAATTAAGATAATGCCATTATAGAAGGGAACTGTAAAATAACAAGCATAGCTATCTACCGCGGCCAATATGGTTGGAATAAAAAATAAAAAGCACATAATAAATCCACATAAAAGGCAACAAAGGATATGGTAAAGGAAAACTAACCTTCAACTTCCATATCTACTACACCTCCAAAAAGCAATGCTCGCTTTTTATGTACACACATTGAAAATCCAGCACGAGGTCCAGGTGGCATCCCACCTTTCTTTACCTATAGTGGGTTCATAATATAAGAAATCTCCTGAAACTAAGTGTTGTATCTAGAGTTCACAACAGGAAATTTGTGGAAAAATACAACATTTCAAAATTGTCTTTTAGAAATCATTAATTTAAGCTTGTGGAAGATTAGGTAAAACTATGAATATGATACAAGTTTGCACTATGCAAATTGTGGCGATGCATGGTTTTATTAAAAAGATAGGATTAAGCTTGAACTGACTTAACTTGTGTACTGCTATGTAGATAATGCATTATAACTTGCATAAAGATAAGATCCAGTTTCTTTAAAATGTTTACATTTAACATATATTGATAATTTACCTGTATCAGAAAAGGAAAAACAGAAAATTTGCAATATAATTATTTCCATATTTCATTGTAAGTTATCTTTGCCAAAGTCAAATTTTACATAGAAACAAGTTTTTGATTCATACAGGAAAATTATCATATAAAAACTTGTGCATGTGCATTCATGTTTCAGTGTGAATGTATGTTGTGTAAGAGAGAGAAAGAGAAAGAGAGAGAGAGAGAGAATAGCGCAATAACACAGAACATTTAACATTCAAAAACCTTTATACTCAAGGCAAATTAAACATACAGGAGCAAGTATTAAAACAGAAAGGATGCTCGTTTGCCTTTTTTAGTACATGGGCCATTGTGTAATGGGATGAGATGGAAAAAAGAGAAAGTAAAAGAAAGGGGAAAAAAGATAAGAACCTTGTTCCACTCCCATGTCCTTGGATCAAGGGACCACATATCTGAATGAACATTTCCTTTCTCAGAGCTGCTCTTATCAGATGCACTTTCTTTGGAATAGCCACCATATAGAAATATCTGCAACACCAGAAAACATCCTGTAAAGATGTATCATGTATGACTATATTGAGTTTGTGCGAGGAGAAACAGCAAGTCAGCAACTACTAATACATACAAGGGAAACACAGCAATATATGATGGGGAGAGAGAGAGAGAGAGAGAATGCTAGCAATTCCCAACCATATTGAGATAAAACACCATCAGCTCTCCAACTGATCAGATTAGACAGTTGAAGCTAGCAATTCCAAACCAAACAGTTTCAGATTTTTTGCTGGCCCCACTAGAAATAGCGTCAATGGCACGGATAGATGTACAAAATGTGGCAATCCAAAATTATTGGACACTTCAGTGGTGCATTGCAGGTGGTCATCTCCTCTTGAAGAATGACCAGTACTCAGTTTTAAAGGGCCAAAGATATTGATATTATTGGTGGCATGGAGATTAATAAGAGAACAGAGGGCAAGATATTTCACTAGACGGTAGTTGAGTTGGAAGGCTTCTTGTGACCTACTTTTCCTTATAGATTACAATATGTGAATTTTATTAATATGGTTAAAAGAATGGTTTATGTACAAAAATGTCAAAGCATCCCCTTGATAGTCTGGTATCGACTATCTCCTAGGGTTGGTAGTTTTTGTTGGGAAGCCTATCTGGAAAGAATCAACACCAGTGATCTACTCCAAAAGAAGAGACCCAATACTTGTTTGTCACCTCAGTGGTGTGTTCTTTGTAAAGCGGATGGGGAGACTGGTTTTCACCTACTGGTGTCTTTGGAATCCCCCATCAGACTTGCAGGGCCTTTTTTCCCCCTTCTTTTTTCAGGTGGCAGATAAAAAGGGGAAGGACAATGTGGAGAGGACTAAGGGCTGCAGTATGTTGGACACTTTGGGAAGAAAGAACTCTAGGATATTCTCAGAAGCTCAGAGAGGAGCAGTAGATTTGAGGGCTATCATACATATTAGGGCGGTACAGTGGCTGAAATCTTTGGAGTTTTTCACAGATTACACTGTGGATGACATGTTGAGGAAGTGGGGTGAAATTGCAAWTTGCACACAGACCAAGTCAGTAATGAGTGTGGCTTGGACCCCTCCACCTGGTGGATTCGTGAAACTAAACTTTGATGGGTGTAGTAGGGGAAATCCGGGACAATCGGGGATTTGGGGTGTTTTTAAGGATGAAAATGGGGTCATTTCTGCCATGTTCTCTGGCCCAATTGGAGTGGGTGACTCCCTTAGAGCTGAGATAATTGCAGTTATGGAAGGAGTCCAGGAAGCTAAGGAGTTGAACATCAGGAAACTCATAATTGAAGGGGATTCAGAGGTGGTAATAGGGTGGTTGATTAAATATCACAATGGCTTATGGAAGTACAATAATGAGAGGAGGAAATTCAAGTGGCTGGTGCGGGTGATGGAAGTTAAGACACGTTGGGTTAAAAGATCGGCTAATTCCCTAGTTGACGGTTTAGCTAAACAAGGGGCAGAAAGGGATTCACTGTTTTGGGCTAAGCTGTAACTATAGTGTTTTTTCTTTCTTTTTTTCCTTTTCTTGAGGTTCTTTGCTGCTCTTGGAAGATAAGTGTGTTTGTCTTCCTCTTGTAAATCTTCTATTGATGATTTAATAAAAGTGTTATTGATCAAAAAAAAAGATAGTCTGGTATCGACCACCAAGCCCACTCTCTAGAAATTACAATTATGCCCCAACAGTCCCCATAATAGCTTATCCCTATTAACCCTTCTTTTAATAGTGCATCTGCCAAGGTGTTTATTGATCTATATACCTATGAGAAGTTGATTCCAATTTCTCTCCCCAAAGATGTATCCCCATCATGTTCCTAAATTGTAAAAAGGGCAGCCCAGTGCACAAGGCTCCCACCAATGCAGAGTATGGGGAGGGACAGATGTACGCAACCTTACCCCTACACATACAGAGAGGCTCTTTCCAAGATTCTAAAATGTGACAGCCCACTACAACTCTAGAATCTCCTTCAACAATCAAAAAATTAATCTGTAGAGATTTTACCAGTCTCAGTCCTTGCTCCACTGCAAACAATTCAGCCCTTGTGTTATTTCAATATCTTATAAGCCATGTAGCCATAATAGATCTATGGAAATTTCTAAAGACCCCTCCAGTACCTAAAGCACCTGGAACCGCAAGGAGATTGTGGAGTTGTTTATTGACTGTATTAATAGTAAGGAGGAAACCTTGTTAGACATGGCAGGCACTTTATTACAAATGCTAAAGCTTTCCCATCCAGAGTGAAGATCTCATACACATGGATCAGAAGACTGGCAAATGAATTTGCTAAGAGTTTAGCCAGGACTGCAGATGAGAGGAGAAATCTGTATTTATGGAGCATCTATTCCTTAGAAAATGAGTATGGATCTGCTATATGTATAATATCTGATTTGTCAGGATAGTCTTAACTTAGACTGGGTTTTGAACCTCATGTTTTTGTACTTGTTTATATACCATCATTCTCTTTCCTTGTGAATAATGAAGAATTTAGTTGTTGATCAGGAAAAAAATTGGAAGACCAAAATCACCCAATAATAGAAATCCTCTCCGCCTTGCTTTCCAATTCCCCACAAAAAAGTGTGGAACAATGACAAATAAGGCAGCAAATTTTAGGTAATAAAAATAAGCACAATGCCATTTGACTAGCTTAAAATAAAAATATCCCAAGCTTATTATAACATGTTGCAATGCAAACTTCATAATCCAAGTATTGCTACTATGATAAAGTTAGGGTTTGTTCGTTTGCTCTAAAGTCTGACATCTGAAAGTGCAATAATTATATTAAGAGGTATATCGGTATTGGTGAACTTTTCTTTCCTCTGTACTCTAAATGCAGAGAATGTTGTTTTGAACTCTGAATTCTGAAAATTATCAAATATCCATTTTGATCCATATATGAGAGTTTTTGTCTGTCTTTTTGGAGGTATCATTGGAAAACAAAAAGTTGTATGGTTACACTTTAAGAGATAAGAGGAAACGAACAACCATTTTTCTCTTAAAGTTAAAAGATTCCTCTTAGAGACAAGAGTTAAGAGGAAACGAACAAGCCCTTAGTGCCCCCAGTGCTAATACCAAGATCTTGTAAAGTGATCAAGACCAAAGTCAATATTGTTACTATAATAGCCATAATAAATTACTTTAAGATTAACTTACCTCATCTTGGAAAACAAAAAACTGGAAACCACTCCTAGTACTTGGCCACATGCATCCTGGCCGGGGTTTTATTTCTTGCCACTGGAATGTACACCATTGATTAGTGTTAGTAATAACACCAAAAGCTAGACTTGATCAGGGAAGCAAATGATGTAACCTACATCCATGATAACCAAGGGTATTCACCTTGAACTGATCCAAATCAAATACATGCAAATCATTAAAATATCTGCATAAATAGAGGAATAGAGCTTCATTAATTTTTAAATGAAAAGGAGAAACCCATAATTCAAATTTTTTTATTGAATGAATAATAAAACTGTGAAAAAGAAATGAAATTGAGCTTATTTAGCATACACTTATAAAATGACTGCTTCAGCAATCAATTTTAGCTGTCTGAAGACAGTAACATAAAACAAAAATTGTATAAATTAGATCTTTATTGAACTTGATGTTTGAAAAGAACCAAATAACAACCTCACTTCTCTAAGTGTGTCATAGAAGCCCCCAAAAATAACAATTTTATGCTTGTATAATACCTGTAACATGTAAAAAATAAAATAAAACATAAGAACAGTCAACTAGGAGACATTATTGCTAACAAGAATGTGGCAAACATCTTAAACTTAAACTATTGCAATAGTCAAAAACAAATTGAAAGATAGATGTGATAGAAAAAATCAATCTCCAATACCAATGATTTTATGATTCAAAGTAGCTAAGAACTAGAACCTTGAGGTCACAATCAAATATTTATAACCAAAACTCAAGAAAGGTCAGAAAGATTAATAATAAAATCAAAAAAATCAAGTGACAGCAAAACATCTAGATGGATTTTAACCAGGTATATGAAACCAATGCACCAATGCTACTTTTGTTGCACTAATTCAGAAGATGAAGGAGGCCAAGGAAGTTAGAGACTCCTAAATTTATCAGTTAAGGAGCCTATACAAGATCATTAAAAAGATATCGGCTCTAAGGCTAAACAAAGTTATGAAAGGTCATGTACTCCTTACAAGAGGCCTTTATAAAAAGGTGTCAAATCCTGGACAGTCTTCTGGTGGCTAGAGAATACATTAACTCTAGTAGGAGATCAAAGCATCCTGGACAGTCTGCCAGTGCGAGCTTGTCTTACACTGACAGTCCCAAGCCCAGAGAAGGAGAGTTTTGTCAGGTTGGCAGCAAGCATTAAAACTTTTGCCAGACTTTTATGGTTATGGATCCCCTACCTAGGTAACACCCAAATTTAATGGTTGCAACTGGGGTGTGAGAATCTAACCATAGCCCAACCAACACCAACCCGCCCTTTCTTCTTTCTATATATATATCAAACCAAATCTATTCTGCTCCACTGTAAATTGCAGAGCCAAGTACTCTCTCTTCATTTTTTAAGCATCACTTCTTCCTATTGAGAAACATGATTTGGCATTCTAAAGAACCAGTCAAAATAGATACCTAAAACAAATATGAAGCATGAGAACTGTTAAAAGCTGTTAATTCTCTAAGTATAGTACCGTAGGGGTACTATTGTAAATTTCTTCTTTTATTTTTATATCCTGTCGCCCTAGTATATATACAAAAAGCTGGCGCCACCAGCAGAACTTTTGGCTCTCAGATCTCTCTTCTCTCTTCTTCTCTCTCTCTCTTCTCACTTCCTCTCTTCTTCTCTCCTGCATAACATGATATCAGAGCGGGACTATCAAATCTGAAAGGAGAGATCGAGTGAACAGTTTCCTTCGCACCAGATTTCCAGATCTTCCACCCTCATCTACTGTTCGGCTGATTGAAGATCAAGGTTTTCTCATGCACTGAAGTAACCTCTCTCCTTCTCTTTTTTTTTCTGGTCGTGTGCCAGGGCAGAACCTGTACTAGGTCTGCTGGTTGGATGTGAAGTGATCAGCACCTCTTTCCTTCCCTTTTTGTGGGGTCGACTGACCCCTGTATAAACTGTAGGTCGTAAAGACCTTTTGTGTGCTGCGATAGCAGCTTTTATGGTGCACTGAAGGTCAAAGAGTGACCTGTACTTGCTATAACAGCATTTCTGTTGATGCATAGGTCAAGAGATGACCTGTATGCACTGTGACAGCACCTGTGTTTGATTCTGTAGGTCAAGGGATGACCTGTTAGTGCTGTAACAGCACCTATGTTTTACAGAAATGGGTTGTGTTTCCGAAGAAAAAAGGGGGTTCCTTTCTCCCTTGGTGCTAGACCTTTTTCTTTAAGGTTTTGTGCCCACTTTAAGAGTTTCTTGAATCTGTAATCATGAGCGGTGAAGATTCTGCTACATCCAGTGTTTCCTCAATGCAGAATGGAATGAGTGGGGGTGTGGACCTATCCTTTCCCATGGCTATTATTCCTCTCGATGGCTTAAATTATTTAGAGTGGTCAAGAGGGATCAAGTTGTACATCACTGTAAGGGGAAAGATAGGTTATATAAATGGGAGAATCAAAGAACCCAATTCTGTGAGTGCTGAATATGACAGATGGAACCAGGAAAACAGCATGGTCATGTCCCGGCTTTTAGTGTCTATGCAACCTCAAATAAGAAAGAATTTTATGTGGGCTGAAATGGCAAATGAGATTTGGGAACAAGCAAAATCAACCTATTCTGAACTGTGTCACTATGAAAAAATTTACCAGTTACAGGCAGAATCGTCCACTTGTAAACCGGGGGAGAGGTGTCTGTCTGTGTACTATTCAGACTTGACCTCTGTCTGGAAGGAGTTAAATCATTATCAAAGTGTGGACTAGAAGTGTGATGAAGATGCAAAATTGTACAAAAAACTTGTTTCCCAGAAAAGAGTGTTTGCTCTAGTACATGGCTTGAATCCTGCATATGAATCTATCAGAGTCCAGATCCTAGGTAGCAAGAATCTTCCATCCGTCCAGGAAGTTTATGCTCTAGTACAATCAGAAGAAAGTAGAAGAAATTTGATGAACAATTTTGGAGGGGATGTAGTCGTGTTGGTAGCAAAAGGGAGTGTTACTACAAGTGGGGGAAATACCTTTAAGAAGGGGGATTTTCAAAAAAATGTGGATGACAAAGACAAACTGTGGTGTACTCAATGCCAGAAACCCTGACACGCCCAAAATACATATTGGGATCTTCATGGGAAGCCGAAATGGGCTCAAGATTTGAGTAAGAAGCAAGGTTCAGATCTAAATAAAAAGTTAGGACAGCAAGGTACAAGAAAGCGCACTATGGCAAATATGGCTACTCAGGAGAATCAGCCCCCCATTACTACTGTGACTCAGACGCACGCCTCTGGATCTGACCCAAGGGAGGATATTATTAATTCCTTCCGTGACCATTTAGAGCTCTATGGTAGATCAATTCGTCAGATGGATGCTCCTCCCTCAACTTCATTTGTGTCTACATCAGGTAACTCTACCACAGCTTTCTATGTAGCATCTCATACCCCTGACACTCGTTGGATCATTGATTCTGGAGCGTCTAAACACATGACTGGTAAGTCTTTTTACTTTCAAACCTATCACCTCCTTTCTGGAAGAGACAAGGTGAGACTAGCTGATGTATCATACTCTACCATAGCTGGTCAAGTAACCATTTCTCTCCCCTTTGGCCTTACCCTGTCTAATGTTTTACATGTCCCGAAATTTTCCATTAATTTGTTCTCTGTTAGTAGTATTACTAATTCCTTAAACTGCTCAGTGACATTTTTCCCTTCTTGCTGTGTGATCCAGGATCTTGCCTCGAGGAAGACGATTGGTAGAGGATGTATGGTGGATGGGCTTTACATGCTGGAGAATAAAACTGGTCTTCAAGTCACAAAGTCTAAGAATCAGTCTTGTAAGAGTCAAGTCTATTTATGGCATAGTCGTCATGGTCATTTATTTTTCAGTCTTTAAAAATTGTGTTTCTAGAGTTGTTTAAGTCAATATCAATGTCAGAATTTACTTGTCAAACATGTCAATTGAGTAAGCAGTGTAAAACTCATTTCTTTTCAAAGAATAATAAATCTGAATTTCCTTTCCACATTGTTCATTCTGATGTTTGGGGCCCTGTTACTTTATCATCTGAGAGTGGCTACAAGTATTTTATTATCATTATCGATGATTACTCCAGATATACATGGGTATATCCCATCCGAGCCAGGGATGAAGTACCAAAAATTATCCAAGATTTTCAGCGGATGATCTTCACCCAATTTCAAACTAAAATCCAAATTTTTCAATCGGATCATGCCAAAGAATATTTTCATAGTGATCTTACGGAGTTTTTTGCTTCACGTGGTTCACTTCACCGTAACTCTTGTGCCCGAACACCACAACAAATGGTGTTGCTGAAAAAAAGAACCGACACCTTCTTGAAGTGGCCCAAGGGTTACTAATTCATATGAATGTCCCGAAACATTTTTGGCTTGAGGTTGTCCTTTGTGCTACCTATCTCATCAACCATATGCCCTCTCGTTGGTTAGAGTGCAAAGCCCCACATCAGCTTCTTTTTCCTAAGGCTCCCCTTCTTTCTATTCCTCCTCGTGTGTTTGGTTGTCGTTGTTTTGTTCAAAATATGTCACCCACTCGTGGAAAATTAGATCCTCGTGTTATTCCTTGCATCTTCTTAAGGTACTCTTTCACTCAGAAAGGATCCCGGTGCTTTGATCATGTTTCTCGGAAATCTTATGTTTCTATGGATGTCTCCTTCTTTGAGAGTGAGCCTTTCTTCCCTGTTTCTCCTCAGGGGAGTGTAAGAATGAGAAGAAACTGGTTCAGCTCCCCCCTCTTCCTAATCCTCCTCCCTTTTATGTCTTCTTTCGTCGTCACAAAGGCCAACCATGTTCAAGAGTTGTGGGGCACCTAGAAGCTATACCACCAATGCCATCAGACTCTCTGAGGTCGGATCATACCCATTCAGGTACCTTGGTTCCTGTTAATGTTCCTGACCCTATTGCTATTGATACTTCTATTGCTAATGACCTTAACCTTCCTATCGCTCACCAGAAAGGTGTTAGATCTTGCACCACTAAACACCCCATTTCCGACTTTGTTTCCTATGAAAACATTTCACCCTCCTTTCAGGCCTTTTTCTCTTCAATTGACAGTGTTCATATCCCTAAGAATGTGGCAGAAGCTCTTTCTGTACCTGAATGGACAAATGCTATGAAGGAAGAAATTAATGCGTTACATAAAAATGGCACATGGGAACTAGTAGATCTTCCTAAGGGGAATGATCCAATTGGATGTAAATGGGTTTTCATAGTTAAACACAGGGTTGATGGCGATATGGAGCGATATAAAGCTCGTTTAATGGCAAAGGGGTTTACACAAGTGTATGGAGTAGATTATGCAAAAACTTTTGCACCTATTGCTAAGATGAACTCCATTAGAGTCCTTTTCTCCCTAGCTATTAATCTTGACTGGGATCTTCATTAGCTTGACATCAAGAATGCCTTTTCTGAATGGTGACCTTGAAGAGGAAGTATACATGGTACAACCCCCTGGTTTTCAGGCTCAAGGTAATGAACAGAAAGTGTGCAGGTTAAAGAAATCATTATATGGGCTAAAGCAATCACCAAGAGCCTAGTTCAGCAAGTTCCATGTAACAGTACATCAAGGAGGATACAAGCAGTTTCAATCTGATCACACATTGTTTGTGAAAAGTGGGGAAGGGAAAATTGTAACACTGATAGTATATGTTGATGGCATAGTTATCAGAGGTGATTGGAAGGATGAAATTCAAAAGTTGAAGAATTTTCTTACTACCCAATTTGAAGTGAATGATCTAGGTCCTCTAAGGTACTTCATTGGGATTGAAGTGGCCCACTCACAAAAAGGCATCTTCATTTCCCAAAGAAAGTATGTCCTAGATCTACTCTAGGATATAGGAAAATTGGGAGTGAAGCCAGTTGATTCCCCTATTGATCCTAACCACAAACTAGGTGACTGTCAAGGTGAACCCATCAAGGATGTGAAACAGTTTCAAAGACTTGTAGGAAGATTGTTACATTTTTCTATGACTCGACCAAACATAGCTTATGCAGTGGGTGTTCTTGGCCAGTTCATGCATGCCCCTAAGACTACCCATCTTGAAGCAGTAGAAAGAGTTCTCAGATATATTAAGAAGTTTCCAAGTGCAGGCTTGTTTCAAAAGCATGGACATTTGAAAGTTGAAGTGTATACTAATGCAGATTGGGCAGGACCCCTAAATGACAGAAAGTCAACTAGTGGCTATCGTACCTTTATAGAAGGTAATCTAGTTAACTGGAGAAGCAAAAAGCAAAATGTTGTAGTTAGATCTAGTGCTGAAGATGAATATCAGGCAATGTCTCATGGAGTGGCTGAAATTATGTGGCTAAAAAATTTGTTGAATGAGTTGGGTTTTCCAATTGACGAACCTATGACCCTATTCTGTGATAACAAAGCAGCCATAAACATTGCTGCTAATCCAATGCCGCATGATAGAACTAAACACATCGAAGTCGACAAACACTTTATCAGAGAAAAGGTCGTCACAGGGGAAGTGTGTACTCTTTATGTTAGCTCTGAAGATCAACTTGCAGATATCTTTACAAAAGGGTTACACCACTCACGGCATCATGATTTATGTGACAAGTTGGGCATGATTGACATCTATGTCCCAACTTGAGGAGTGTTAAAAGCTGTTAATTCTCTAAGTATAGTATTGCAGGGGTACTATTGTAAATTTCTTCTTTTATTTTTTATATCCTGTCGCCCTAGTATATATACAAAAAGCTGGCGTCGCCAACAGAAATTTTGGCTCTCAGATCTCTCTTCTCTCTTCTTCTCTCTCTCTTCTCTCTTCCTCTCTTCTTCTCTCCTGCATAACAAGAACTATTCAACATAATATCATAGAAGCTTCTACGAAATATAGATTTTTCAAGAAAAGTGACAAAGTTGTACATGAAAAGGGATAAGACTAAAGAATTTCCTTGCAAGATAGAGATAACTATAGTTAGTTGAAAGGATTTCATGCAACCATACAAATGTCTGCGTCAATCTAGTTCACTTTAAAATAAACCAGAAAACCATGCAGCATCAACTTACCATACGATGACCTGAACGCGGACTTGGACACCCTTTTAAATTTATCTGTTCCCACTGATTTGTTTTCAGGTCTAACATCCAAAAGTCCTGTAGCAAGAGCAGTCAAAATAAATATTACATCCTTAAGCATAATGTACAAATAGGCTGACAAGTAAAAATCTAAGTTTAGAAACTTAGAATTGTACAACAGGGTATTCAGTAAAGGAAACCATTACCTTGTAATGATGGAATCGCTCTTGATTTGGGGATGTGAACTCACCACCTAAAACATAAACAGAGGAAGAAACAAGCACACTCTCATGATTAAAAGAAATCAACTCTGATATCATAGCAAGTACAATTATCAAATCAATATTCTGTTTATTTACCAAAGAGATAGAGATAGTTCTTCCAGGCAACTGCCTGGTGTGCACTACGAGGCGGTGGGCTACTGGGGCTTGATATCAACTTCCACTCTTGCTTTTCAACGTCATAACGATAAAGATCACCATATACAAATGTCTGCAACAACACAATTCACCGAAAATGAGCAAATAAAACTATGCAGCATCAATGCCAAGAGAATAATGGTAAATAAGAAATCATCATTCTAACCTTATTACCGTTGTAGAATTCACCTCCATATAAGATCAATTCCGTCTCTTTCAAGGGATTAATGTTCAGCTATAGAGTTAGAGTTCACGACCACAAAATAATGCTTCCATGTGAGTAAGTGAGTGAGGAGTGAAGTGGGGAAAGGAGAATCCTTGAGGCCATTTATAACATAAATAAATTGAATATACTGGTAAGGTCCTTACAGAACAGTTTGATCGAGGGGATGGTGCCGGAACATTTTCCTCCACGTGAACTTCCTTCTTCTTAGCTTCCTCTCTTTGTATACTCAACTACCCAATACAAAAATTACAGTCAAAACTTATTGATTCTACAGAACTACATCAACTCCCTCTCAAGCATCTATCTAAATGTAAGAATCACTATATCTAGACGAAATTTTAAACTTTATCGCTCAAGCAAGTTGGAAACGAAGTCATCCATCGGTTTGAGAACTCGAAATGACTTATTGCCAAAAAAATTCCATTCAAGGGGAACTGGGGAAGGAATGAAAGTGAAACTTAAATTCAGATTTTATGAACTTTAAATGAATTAAGCAACTGATCTAAATACTACAGTAAAAAAATATATACGTAGTTGAAATAGTGGTTCTCTTTTTTCTCGGCTGTACCAGAATAGCATCAATGTCGTCTTCCGGGGAAAGCTTTTTAGACTCTCTTCGAGCTCTCTTTTCTTCTGCTTTCGCTGTTTTTCTCTCTGTTTTCTCTTTGCCTTTCCCGGGCTTCTTGGTTTTCTTCCCCATTTTCGTTTTCGCTGCTCGAACTATCGACGACGAACAGGAAGAAGATCAGACCTTTTATAGCTACAAGTCTATAACACCGTGGCTGCCGAGGGGTTTTTTTGGGAGGGTGCTTAGTTGAGATGTGAATGGGGGTTGCAAAAACGGATCGAGTAGAAATGGATACGGATACAGGAGGTCCATATTGATTCAAGTACACATGAATCAAATTCGGATCATTCTTAATGGAATTGAACTCACACAATCGGATACCATTTGCAGTCTTACAGATCTGAATCGAAACGAATGTCCTGGGTTTGAACTGGGACCAGCGTTGGTCTAATTCTTTGTTCGTCCATCCGGGCCACGATCTTCCCTGCTGATTTACGGATCTTTAATGTAGTAGTGAGGTTTTTTAATTTTTATGCAGAAAGGAAGAAAGTATAAGGCTTTTGACTGAGGCTGCAAATTGGGTTGCCCCGGGCTCTGGTTAGGGTTCAGGGTCCATTAAAATTTTAACAAAATTCCCAACACACCCGATCCGAATTGTATAACAAACAAACCCAAATTTAAGCTGGTATAATGATATTCAATTGGACTGGATCCGAGATTGTTGGATAAAAATACAATACTAAAATCCAGGGCCATGATCGGATTGGGTTCGGACCTGATGAAGCCAATCTTGACACGATGATCAAATACCTAAGTCCGAAATCTGATACGAAATTCGACTGGGTGCAGTAGGTCACGGATATTTCTATTTCATTTTCAGGTTTTCAAATATAATATGGGTATGATTCACCATATTTAAAAAGTTAATATGAAGAGAAAAGAAAAAAAAATCTCTTTGTATGCATAAATTAAAAAAAGTTAAAAATTACTTTGATTCTTGATAAAGAACATTACTAAAACCTAGGATCATGGTTGCACGAATCCGAATATGATACGAACTTGTACATGATCTGAACGAATTTGAATCGTAATTCGATGTAGTGACATTTGACCCGGTTATTAAATGGATCAAGATTTTAAAATCAAAAGTCTATTTGCAAAGAAATAATGCAAATACAAAATAATCATATTGGACTCTCTCCCTCTGGTGTGCACAATGCATACTCTTACATTACAGAGGAGGGGATTAGGTTACAGGTCTTACATTTTAGATCTGAATATGGCTTAATTGTACCTTCAGAAAATGTTGACAACCCAAAGTAGTAGAGTAAATAATCCAAGTTTGGATCTACCTCACAGAGCGCACCTCACACCACCCTCACAGTGCATCGTAGCCGTGCATTGAGAACATCTCCCATACATGAGGCGTACTCTGTAAGGAGAAGATGCACATCGTAGCTGTGCATTGAGAACATCTCCCATACATGAGGCACACTCTGCGAGAAGAAGATCCAATCTCAAATAATCCATGAACTCTATTAACGGGTCTAGTCATAAAAGTAACCAATGTTGAAACAAATTGTGGAATCTAATCTGCAATTATAGTTAGAACTTTTTCCTCCTCACTTCAGTTTGGAAGGGAAGAGTACAAATACAAATGTGTATGGTGTGTGTAAATTAGACCTGTTCATGGGCCGGGCATCAGGCTGAACTTTACATCGTCTCAGGCTCAGGATTGGGATTCGGGCATCTATTAGAATTTTGACAAAAGCTAAGCCCAAACCTAGCCATGAACAGGTCTATTGCAAATACAATATTTTCAATAAAATATACAAGGATTGGATTTGCACTGTAAATATTTGTATTTACACTCTTTCCAAACCGAGCCTAAAATACAGATTATGTTAAAACTGATAACAAGGCATCTCATTCCCCAGCTAGAACAGCCATTACTCAAACTTATAGTACTTTTGTATACATCAGGCTCAGGCTGAAAGCCTCTCACCTGGCTTGTCTCTTTCCTTAGAGGGATCGATGGTTTTTTTCTCACTCTATTAATTTTTGGCAAAAGAAATAAATAAAGAATACTGTAATGATATAAATAATAGCCATAGGACAAGTTACATTTACCACAAATGTTACCTCTTTTTTGTTGTTGTTACTAGTTACTAAGACTACTACTTTTTGTTTCATTTTCTGTGCCTTGGATCTTTCAATAAATTTTCACTGCCACCAGTCTGTCGAGAAGTCTCATGGATGAATCAGTAGTCCATACTTCCTTATTGGTTGACACGATCATGCGCTTTTCCTTGCTCACATTGTGATCCTAGATTTGGCTCACCAAGCAACCAAGCCAGAAGTAATTCCTTCTTGAAAGAGAGGAGGAAAAAAGGCAAATTCACAAGCTCCTCGCAATGCTAATTTGTGTTTTTGTACTTAAAAGCACCCTCTTCCAAATATTTACATCCCACAGTGTTTTAAGCGCTGGTAATGTCAAAGCGGTGTGTATGTTGTTAAATTAGTAGACTATCAAAGAAACAGTAAAACCAAAACACTGGGCAATCATGTCAGAGTAGAAAAGAGAGAAGCTCCAATTATTGAAAAAGATATCAAGCTTATATAATTTATTCTACAGGATGCAATTGAATCTGTGAATGTATCTGGTAAACGTCAACATATAAATTCCAAGTTGATTGAATTTGATATCATACATTCTCAAAAAATGGGATTGAGCATAAAATAAACAGGAAGCCAACTTTCAGCAATAGAACCTCCTCATACCAGGTGTTGATGGAACCTGTAACTTCTGCTGAAACAAGAAAGAACCTTTTTTTTCCACACAGATGGAGAGATTTTGCTCAAAAATGTCTTTACCCTTCCTCAACTCTGTTTGCTTCGTTTCCGTGAAAGGTTCAAGTTTCTCTTGATTGCTTCCTTTTGTGGAAAATCAGATATCACCTAAGCATTTCTCTCCCTGGTTCAATTTTCTGAGATATGTCAAGGCTTTGATATCACTTCAGCATTAAAAAGATGCCTATCATGCCCATTTGCATCCAACAGTCCAGAATATGATGCTCTTCTCTTGTTTCTGTAAATTCTACTCTTTGTTCCTTCCCCTTTTCGGCCAGACAGAACCAATGACATGACTGCCAAAAATCCCAAGACAGAGAAAGCCCATATACCAACCATCCAAAACCTCAAAGACCTAAAAACCCATTCAGTTGCTGCAGGTATAAATGACATTTGTGAAGTAGTAGTCATTGGATCAGGGCTACCTCTTATATAATCTGATTTTCCAACAAATTTGGCAGCTTTCCTTAACATAGATTCCTTTGTGGTTTCCCAGTTTGAGGTGGTTTTGATAGTGGAATTGCGGCAATTCCTCCTCTCATGATGCAAATAGAGAGCATCATTTAGTGTCTTTGCACATTCAATGCTCAGTTGGTCACGCTTCAGAATGTCTTCATCAGTTGAATCAAGTGTTGCAGGGTCAGGTGGATCTGGAAACTTAGCCCAACATGTACTGACCAAGTCAACATTCCTCCAATTGGCTTTATCAAAGCTCCATTTACCCACCCTAAATTCCAGTCCATAGTGGAACACTCTATAATTTACACCAGGTTCGGGAACATAACCCGGATAAATCAATATCTCATGGTTTATGATATGCCTTAGTTTTAACTGCATATCGGATAGAATGCAAATGAAATTATTGAAGATTAGAATCAGATATGGAAATATGATTTAGATTCAAATGGTGGACAAGCAGAAAATGCATTATGCAAGAACATACCTCTGCTGCACCAAAGGAGTAACCATACATCTCACTAATCCACCCAGATTCATAAATATCCCCAGTGATATCTTTTGCATAATGTTCTTTGTCAACCCGGACCTCCTCAGTTTTATGCAGCCAAAGAAGTGCAAATTTACGCAGGTCATCTATATGCATGATAATTACACCACCAACTTTGTCACAAGCATCAGGATGGCAGGTGTGGAGTTTGGCAAGCTCATTGTCGCATCCAATGAGATAGCTAGCATGCATAAACTAAAGTAAGAGACAAACTACTACTATTAAGAATCATATTCAGACAAGGGCATAGACACACCAAAAAGAAAAGGAACAAAACAAATACATATATGCACCCCAATGCATAAAAGATTGTTCTTTTCTTACTCGTATGGGGTTGAAACTGGATGGCCACGTGCTGCTTTGAACTCCCATGGCGTAATAGGGCCCCTCATTATCATGTCAGCATCCAAAATAACTATGAATTCTGCATCTATTTCTGCGTGATTTAGCCAATGAAGGACTGCTGCTGGCTTGTTGATTGCTGGGTACCTGACATGTCACAAAGAGAAACAAGGTTTTATTTCCTTCTTAGTATTCAACTTTTTTTATTTGTTTCTGTTGATATCATAATTCTCCCCCTTTAATATGTGCATCTGTTCGCATCTATATGTGTGGGTGGTAGGCCAACTGCAATTAAAATAAGAGAGGTCAAAGATGTTTTATTGTTTATTGATAAATCATGACCTCATAGTTGCAGCAGGAAGCATTGAAGAAGTGAGATATGAACCTACTAATTCAGACAAAAAAAAAATATTAATGATAGAACTAATCAGGCCCCTTTCCTTTTTCTTGTTCAAAAAGCAACAGGTTACTATCTTGATCATACTTTACAATATTCAGACAACCCCATCAAGTAGATGGGACACATGAAAAAGCTCTAAATATACAATGGTAAATCCCACCTACAAAAGGAAATCAAAAACTAGAAGCATAACTTTTGTGGATAATATGAAGAAAATAAGTTTTTGACAATGGAAAGAAAATAACAGCATTGCCTACCTAAAACATCCATCTTTAAACATGAAAAGGAAAGGGAAAATGACTGATCAAATGATAGGACTACTTAGTAAAACACATCGAAGTTTGGAAAATACCAACATTTTAGGCCCTGTTTGGTGGTACTATTGAAAGTACTTTTCATACTTTCAAAAGTATTGAAGTACAAAAAGTACCGAAACACGTTTATTTGGGGTGTTTTTCACTTTTAAAAAACACGAAAAGCACAAAGTCATCTGTTGATAATTCATGCTTTTTGACCCTCTGACATACTTTATACTTTCTAAAACGTGTGCATCAACCACACGTGTGATACTTATACACCCCACCACATAGTAGCATATATGAATACCACGTGGAAACATAGGCACATTAATGTATTCAATGACACATGGCATGCCATGTGGCATTCATCTCTCTCTCTCTCTCTCTCTCTCTCCATATATATATATATATATATGACAACTGTATGCCACGCGGAATGTAATACCATTGACTTACCTTTGAATGCCACATGGCATGCATATATGATGCCTACAACCACCTGGGTGAGCAAACATGTTCACAAACAAAGTACCTTGTAAATTAATAAGTTTTGTCTCAGTTTAGATGATCAATTAGTGAAAGCATGGAATCCTACAACCACCAAAATAGTTTCAAAATGGGAAAAAAAGGCATGAATCCTAGATATGAACATGGACATGGACACAGATAGGAAAATGGGGATATAACTATCCATTTCCTAAAATCCTGGACATGGATAAAAGTACTTGTATCTCATGTGATATGCTTATATCATACATATATCTAGTTTTTGAAGCTAAGTTCACTTTTTCAAGACTTGTGTCTTTGCCAAATTTAATTAAATTTGTAACATATTCAGATATTTTTATAGTAAAACATACCATTTTACATATTTTTAAAATGTAAATGCTATAAAATACATATAGAAGTATTCATGCATTATCCAGTATCATATCCAACACTTGCATGCTAGGCATGTATAGGTATCCAGGTATCAAAGGAAAAAAGTTTCAGGTCAGTGACTTTCATATGCCAACTTTCCTTTCCTTTTTCACCACCAACATACCCAATGGCTGCTGGAAGCGATAGATGTCCACTTCATATTGATCTTGAGTTTTACAATAAATGTTTTACCAACTGAAAAAGAAGGAACCGAAAAGAATGTGGAAATTTTGGTTACCAATCGCCTGTCAATGGATGACGGCTCATTGATGGAACATAATGTGTAGGAGCTAGATCATGGCCTTTATATCGCTTCAAGTCTTCTTCTGTACAGCTGAGAAGTCGAGTGAGGTTTCCAGGCTGGCCACTCAAATGGAAACTGTGAACAAGTCCTACAGTCTGCCAATCAAAATAAGGGGAACATTCAGTGGAGAAAATGGTATGGATTTTTGGATACATCATTTCTGATTCACCAGAACCCTGCTGTTGTTCCTCAGTTTTGACAGTTTGCAAAGTCTCATGAGTTAAAAATCTTGGTCTGGTTAATTCAGAAAAACTCTTGCTCTTTAAAAAGCTCAAATATTTTGACCACTTTGGCTTAGGGCACCCCCTTGATGCATGGTGTAATAAAAGGCCCTCATTCAACGTGTTGATACATTCTATGCTCAAAAATAGTCCTCGCCTTTTGTTTGGATTGGCTTCCATTGCTTGAACCTGCAGAAAGGGAAAAACTATCTGGAATTATGCCATATTAAAACCCCGCATACAATTCCACATATAACTTTTGTATTTAGAAAGGAAAAAAAAAACAGAATATCTATAAATAGATAGATCATTTGAGCTGATGCACTTCAATAGCACTGTGGGATGTTTACATAATTCTTGGTTCTTACACATTTGGCATCCAAATAACAAGTGGTGCACCTACTTGGAGGATTGTTAAATGCAGTTATGTCAATGGGTTAAGATTGATACAGCATACAGGTTTGCCTCAACCCTATCCCAGACCTAAGGCACCTGCTACAGAGCTTGACTGAACCCATCTTAATGAAGTAGAATTACTGAACCTGCCCTGACTCTATAGGGTCTCAACCAATACTGACTTCCCCCAGCCCATGAACAGTAGTCATGTTCTTGGTGAGGGCTATATTTTACAAGATTCTACAATGTCACTATGTCACCTGTTAAAAAACTTGATGAATTTTCATTGTACATCTGTACCTTTTAGAAATTTACAAGAATACCCTTCTACATACAGGGGCACAACAACCTAACACGTCAGGGCTAGAAAAATCCAAGCCTAATGTGGGTTAACTTCATTTAATTTGAATCCACCTCCAAACCCAATTAAGGCAGTCCCAAACCCAATCTGATAGGGTAGGATCAAGGCAGATTTAACATTTAACCTGACCCCCCTTGATATCCTTAGCTAAATGTGTGGATTGTTTCACTACCACTTGCCTTTAGGTCAGTGCAGCGCAGAACAGACTCTTGGCATATTTCTTGTATTAGCAAGCATTTTTAATTATCTTTTCTGTGTTTTTTCTTACACACACCTCTCTTGGGTAAGGAGGCTCAGGGAAGAGCTTGCCACAGTCATAAACAATGCCATCCTCATGATGCTCCATTTTACTGAAAGACCAATTCCCAACCTTAAATGGCAATCCATAATGCATGAGAAGGGACTCAACACCCTCCCGTGGGATGTAGCCAGGGTAAATCATCAAGTTGTCATTAATTTTGTGCCGAAGCCCCACCTGATAAACCAGCAACATAGACAAAAGTAAATAACTGAGCAAATATTAGTGGCTGGAAAATCATAATTCTGCAAATTGAAGAACATGAAATCCACTCACTTCTGCAGCACCAAATGAGTATCCATACATCTCACTGATCCAGCCCTTGCCATAAATATCACCAGTTATGTTGGTTGCCCAGTGGGCTCTGTCCTCTCGTACTTCTTCTGTCTTTGAAAGCCACATAGGTGCCAATGCCCTAAGGTCATCAATGTGCATTGCTAGAAGGCCACCAACCTTGTCACAAAGTTTTGGGTGCTTTGTGTGCAATTTGGCAAGAATATTGTCACATCCAACCAAGTACCTGAATAAAATGGTTTATAGAATAATGACATATATTGGCTGCAAAAAGTTACACATGTAGCATTTGTAGCAAAAAAAAAAGTTCTACATGTAGCACAAAAAAGGTACTATAAAGCAGGTGTCGTCAGGGATCAGTTTGTTTGGGCATTTCCAGGGTCAGGGTTCAATCTGTAATTCTAATTATAATAGTTATGTTTTTATGTTTCCTTTTTGTAGCTGACTTTGTATTCATTTTGGACCTGATGCCTTAACCTTATTCAATCTGTAAGTCTAATTATAAATGGATAAGAGTCGCTTCTGAATTGAGAATGTTTTAGGTTGGTACTGGAATTGAAGTCATTGAACATATCATCTTGCAGCTGCATGTGATAACTAAGAAGCAAATAAAAAGAAGAATTACATGCATAGCCCCAGTAGCTTGACAAAAGTGAATTTTAGTACCCGTAATATGCAGCAACAGGCTTGCCTTTCTCAGCACCAAGTTCCCAAGGTATAATTGGACCCCGGATAATCATGTCTGCATCCAAAATTACAACCCAGTCGACATTTTGTGCATCTTTACTATGTTTAAGCCAATGGACAATTCCTGCTGGCTTATTAATTGCAGGGTACCTGCAAAAAAAAAAGGCCTTTACTTTTTTTTTCCTCCTTTTGCAAGGGAACTGGTCACAAAATAATCTTAACTAGAAGCATAAGCAAAACATAGAAAGATCTTCACTAAGGAGTCACATATGGTGAGAAATCATTGTAAGCTGACAAATTCTTGATCAACATATAAAAATCATAAGTAGATTACAGGTCAAGAAATAATAGAAAACTAAAATGGAATTACTTTGATGTTTAACAAGATTAAGCAGCCTTATCCAATTCCTTCAGATAAATCTCAATGAGAAGAACTCTAGTTCAACATATAAATGCATAAACAGATATTAGAAAATAAATAAAAGAAATGAAAAATGGCATTAATTTGATATGTAAAAAGATACTGAGCAACCCATCCAATTTCTTCAAATAAATCCCAATGAGAAGAATATTACAACAATGCAAACTAACAGAAACCCATTATATGCGAACACAAAAAATGAGCCAGTAAAGGGAGGGAAAAAAAAGAGAGAGAGAGAGAGAGAAGAAGCAAGAAGAGGAAAACAATAACACACATCAAGGAAATGGCAAGAATAACTCACCAAAAATGAAAAGAAACTTAGAAACAATTTAACCCAAAATGATAAGAAGTGAAACACAACTGGAAACTTGTAAAGACCTGATGGTGTGGGTCTGAGCCTGAGTTTGGTTTCTTGTTTCAATTAAGATAAATCTACTAGAAGGACATTGTTGTAAGTAGCGATTTGCTCCTTTTCTTTTACCTGTAGGAAATAGTTGGAGTTATTTGGCAAGAGGTCAAGTAGCCAATGTATTAATTTCTCGCAAATGCATACAGAAGCTTTGACAAGCTATGTTTCACTAGCCTTTCTATTTGTGTTCTTTGTAAGCAGTTTGCCTACTTCAGTAGGAAGGCCTGCACCACCCTGGCATTCCTTCAAGTCTTCTAGATAGATAACTGGATGCTATTTAATTGGTAATTTAGTTTCAGGTTGATTTGCTACGTGACAAAAAAAAAGGTTATATAACATCAATATATAAAAAATATAAAAACAAAAAAGGGAATGAATGAATGAAAGAAGTATCAACCAGGAGCGAAAAACAAATACCACTGCTAACCCACCAAATCAAACTAAAATATGTACAGAAAGTAAACTACAAAAGAAAAAGAAACCCCTGTCGTAATAACGAAGTCATTTAGAAATCATAAAAATGGCATGCAATAAAAGCAAACCAATCAGCAGAGCTAGGAAGATGATCCAATCCAACAACCAAAAACCCATTTTTCCTGCATCTCAAGTACTGGAAAACTAAATGTGATCTAGCAATAGCAATAACCAGCATCAACTATAATGTTTTGAATAAATAATGCAGAACAAACTAAAATAAAAAACAGAATTAGAAACACAACCTCGAGTTAGACAGCTTAAACAATAAAAAACAAAAAAGGAAAGTTTAGTAGATACCAGTCTCCAGTCTTTGGGTGCCTGCTCATGGAGGGTACCTCGAAAGTTGGAGCAAGGTCCATCCCTTTATAATGCTTCTTCTCCTCCTCAGTACAACTTAGGAGCCTTGTTAAGGGACCGGGTTGACGGGCCTTATTGAAACTATGAACGAGGCCCACCGTCTGCCAGTCGAAGTAGTTCTGACATTCCACCGAGAACAAGGTGTGGATCCTCCATGGCGCCTCCTGAGCTGTTGATTCAACACCGAGCACGCCGGTACTGAGCAAGCCCATCAACAGTGCCAAAAGCAGAAATCCAGCCATTAGAGCCTGTTTCATGGTGTAACTACGCATGCATTTTATTGCAGAGATCTGAATTTCATGTCTCGGGAAAGAAAGTCAAAAGAAGGTTGTGGGGAGAAAGATGAGACGAAAGCTTATTTTGGGTCGAACGTCAACTCGAATTAATGTTCTTTTTATTAATGAGAAGGTGGGGAGAACAGGTGTTTTAAATTATTTCCGATCTTTCTTTGCAAAAAAAAAAAATTCCGATCAGTTTTTTTTTTTTTCAATTTTGCAGACTGAGAGAGTCTTTCGACTGAGATGGGTTGAAGAGGCTCTCTGCTTGTTCCTACTTACCTCCTGGGACGGTGACGGTGATTCGTGGAGTTTTTTCTCTTCAGTGAGAGTCTAGACACTGTCTGTGTTTAGTGTTTACACGCTCGAAGGTGCGTTCCTATTGGAGATCCACCAACAGATTCCTTTGTTTATTTTACTTGTTTCAGTGTGAAGTGTATACAAAAAATATATTCGTATATCTCTGTAATCTGCACTCAATCAAGCATCATTCAAAGCAAGCCGCCGTGTCGATCTCAAGTTTGGAAATAGTGACTTCCACTTGGTTGAACACCTCCATGTTTTTCCACGTACATCGAATCAAAATTTGGCATGGACCATCTTAACCGTTCGATCAGATGACCGTTTTTAGATGGTTATAGCTACATGAAGATTATGCAAAAAAAGAAAAGAAATTCTCAAGGCTTGGACCGGGAAGAGTGCAGTATAAAATACAAATAGAAATATGTAGAATTTAATTTTTTATATTTTTTTCTGTTCAGTGCAAAAGTTTGTATTTTGTATACAAACATGTATTATTTGTATACATGAATGAATTTTGTAATGGATACAAATATGATTTTTTTTATAAAATATAAATATGAATCCCAGTATTGAAATATATCTTTCGAAGGTTGATCAATTTTGAGTTAGATAGAAACTTTGCTCTCAAATATACCTTCAAATTTGTTAAAAAAAAATGTCACCTTGAATGCATAAATGCATTCTTATTAAATATCAGTAGCAGATCCTAATATCACTTTGACTTTGCCACCCTCCAGATGACAAGGTCATGTCAATCCATTGGACCGTAAAAAGGTTGAAGCACTTTAATATTATGTAATAGATGCAGAGTATAAATATCGCCTTTTGGGGAGATGGAAATGCTCCCAAGACTGCGAATAAGTCAATACAGTTGCGCGAGATGTTCCCAGTGTGCGGCAGTGGCCCTCGAGATAATATCGGGAGTGTTGTGTTGGTCCCTACCCCATTTTGGAGAGGTTAGAGACACGGATACAGGAAATGGGATTTGATTCTCACAAAACAGTATTTAAACTTTTTTGCATATCATTTTTTAAACAACTGTTTTCTTTTTCTATAAAAATTATCTAAAGTCCCTCTATTTCTCTCTCTCAATAACTTAAACAATATCTTTTCTCAAAATTTCTATTAAATTACTTCTCCACTTTCTCCTAAATTATCTTTAATTACTATTTACCTACTAAATTATCTCTAATTCCTATTTATCTCCTAAATTTTCTCTAATTCTTATTTATCCTCTCCCCTGTTTTTTATCTATATCTTTCTAAAAAAAAGTTTGAATTAAACATTTTAAAAATATTTTAATATTTTAATAAAATTATATAATAATATTAAAAACACAAAAAATAATTAAAATATATTTAATAATATTTATATTATTAATAATTTTATATTTTTACAAAATTCAACACAGAATTATGTACTGACAATATAAATTATGACTTTCTGGATTGTTCAATTTAAATGTTATTCAAGCAAAAAAATAACATTGAAAAATAAAATAATATTTAAATATTTTCAATACCAAAATATTAAATAAAATATTATTTATATTACAAATAAATATTTCAATACCACTACAAGAGTGGAAGTCTTGTGAGTTCTAAATATGCCATAATCAAATGACAGAACAATGTTTGGTTTATGGATCTTCACATTGTCGTAGATTGACCAAAAGCTTGAAATGCTCAATTTGTCTAGCAAAACAAGCGTTCCCATCCAATAATAGTTTGTTCTCTCCGTTTTCTATCAAACCTTTTTATATTGGTGTTGAGGAAATACAGTTGAGACAAAATTTGTTAGATTTTAAATGTTAGAACTTAAAACAATTAAGACCCCCGACTCAATTGCCGGTTTACACTTGTTGCCTATTGATTCCATGTTGTCGGAGCTCGGTGAAACAGAGAAATCGTCGCGGCTAGTGGTATATAGAAAGGAAGAATGAAAATGAGAAGAATGTATGTTTACGGCCGATTGATTCTTGTCGCCAATTTACTCCATGCCGTTGGACTCACTAAAATAGCCGCCCGGTGAGGGTGGCCTCTTGCTCTTGAGCTAGGGCTCGGGTGAAAATGGAACTGGGAAAAGAGAATTCAAAAGAGGGTGATGTATACGCCTCCTATTGGAGGGTTCACATGCCCCATGAACCAAATGGACCACTGAATCCAAATTCTCAACGAGGACACCAATCAATGGATCAACGAGGACATTGAGATGAAAGAAGACTACTCCATCCAAATTCAGCCTAAAGCTCAATTGGGGAAGAGTGTAAATACAAATATATCCAATATGTATATAAAATAATACAAAATATAAAACTTTGCACTTTACATATTTATACTTCTAAAATGAGCCAAAATGGACATAACCCTCCGTTCGGGAAGAATGCAAATCGAAGGTTAAAAAATATGATCTACGAATTCGTTACTAAAACTCGATGACCCTCTGAAAATGGAGACATAGTATAAAACCAGTGGACTTAGTGGGTGGCTTGGTGGACCTCATGTGCACACTTCTGTATAATAATAATAAATGTTGTATGACTTACTACGTTTAAGTTCAAAATATCATTGAGGACGTATGGTAGTACCGTAGTGGTAATGAACAATACCGACATAAGTCAATTAATTAATTTTTATATGTCATAAACGATATTTGTTGTGAGAATGAACTATAATATGGATTTATCAATGATCTGTTAAACTTGTTGATCTAATAATAGTTTATGTTTTTTTTTTAATTTTTAGTAAAAACCAAAAATTATAAAATCAACTTATTTTATATGTCATATATGATTTTCATGGTAATAAAGAATTATGAAATGAATCTATCCAACTCATTGATCGAACAACAATTTGAGGTGACTTGTAATGAATTTTTAATGGATTGGAAGTTTTTTTAGTAATGGATTGGAAGCTTAATCGTTGTTTGATGTATTAATGGTAAAATTATTGTACGATACCGACGTGGTCAGATTCCAAATATAGTTGACTGTAATGTATATCTGTGCAAACTATTAAAATATACATTTTTATTTGTTTATATTTTATTCATACTTATTTTAACCTCATATCTAGTGTAGTGATGTCTTTGTGGACTTGGAAAGGATTTTCCTAATGTCTTGAAGTGTATCCATATATTGTATGAGGTTTTTTAGTAATTAGTCTAACAAATAGAATGTATTATTTTGAATATGAGTCTCAATATCTGCCCTCAAAAAAAAATTGAGTATCAATATCTATATTGTGTGTTAGCATTCGCTTTAGAAAATCATTTATAATAAATTATGTGAAAATTATTAGTACTACTCCTTTATTTTACATGTATAAAATTTATCCCCCCCCCCAAAAAATGAAGCTATGAAATATCTTTAAAAAGACGGTTGTATCTTATAATCAATATTTTCGAATCATCGTTGAGTCGGACGGTCGGACCATTCGACCAGGGAATCGTTTAGGCAACCGGTTCTATTTTATCCAAAACCCGATAGTTGGTCAAAAACCGTTGAAAAAGTCAACAAATCATTAACCCGAGCGATCAAATCGTCAACCCGTCAACCCGTTCAACGGTTTTGATCATTTTTTTAATTTTTTAATTTTTTTTTTATTTTACTATCAGAGCGGGCCGTCTGTTTGAACCAGACAATCGGACCATTGGCCCGGAAACTGATGCCCAAAACGGTTCCATTTCCGGGTCATTTTTTCAAACGTTGCTTATAATTAATTCTTCAGTTATTAATTATTTGGCACGAAATCCATTAATAGGAAAGTATAACGAAGTTCATTATTCAAACTATCTTTACCCCCCAAAAAAATCTTCAAACTATTTGACAGCTTTCATGTGATGTCACGACAGTTTGGACCACCAACATGTATATCCGGTGGTCCATTCTTATTAATTATGTGGATCCTTTTTTTTCACAAAGAAAGAGGAAATTCCAAAGGTTATAAAAATATTTATTAATTTATATGTTATAAATTAATGATTTTCATTGCAATAAAGAACAATAATATTGATGATCTATTAAACTCATTGATCTAAGAGCAATTTATGTTAAAATTATTTTTTATTGGACTTGAATAAAGAGAAGAATATATTTTATATATTCTAACTGATTTTCACAACAGGGGAGAACTGTGGGTTGGGTCTATTAATGACCTATCAAATTCATTGATCTGGCGTGTCTTGTAATGAAATTTTAGAAGAATGGAGGTTCAACTATTGTTTGATATATTGGTGAAATTATTGCATGATATCTACATGTTCTAAACTCCTGGTATATTTATCACCAAAGTTGGGATTATGAGTATGGGGAGATCCCCCTGTTTAGCCTATATATCTCGGATGTATTTGGCATTCGTTTCTGATAATCAATTCTAATGAATTTTCTGATTTAAAAAATCAATTTAAATTTATATGTATGGAAATTATTAGGACTAATTTTTTAATTGGGGCTCAAAATTTATTCTAATAATTGTTTGTTTTCAAAGCTAAAAATAACCTTTAAAGATGTTTCTGGTATGGAATTCATTCTTCAAGTAGTGATTCTTCGGAGCAAAGTCCACAAATACAAAAAGGGTTCAGTAACAAGGGCAAGAAAAAGAGCTTTCTAAATAATCCATTCAATAGGAGATTCATTGGATTGGCCACGAGTTTAACCATACATTCCATGCATATTTGTCATGTGTTCCAAAATCTAACTTGTGTGCTGTGTGTGTTTTAATCATATGAATATTAATTCCATTCAAAATAAATCACTTAGAATACAACTAAAATAATATAAACAACAACAAAAGTCAATACAAAGTGATAAAAGCCATAGATCATTCAATCATGGTTTTCAAAACAGGACCGTATCGGATCAGACAGACAGACTGGAAAAACTGTAAATTGGTCAGATGATCAGTTTTGTTTTACTCTATAATTGTTATTTTGCCAAAAGTTGTTGATTTGGTTAATAAACTGTTGCCCTGGGGGGTTAAACCATTTGAACCGTCCAATGATTTTAGTCTTTTTTTATGTCAAAATAGGCCATCCATTTAATTTGAACTGTCAGACCATTCGACCCAGGAACCGAACCCTTGACCGATTCATTGTCGAATTCAGTTTTAAAAACCTTGCATTCAAAAAATACAAAAATAAGGCAATGAGCACGAGCTTTTTCCACTGTATACATGTGAGACCACATGTGCAATAGGAATGGTTACCTGCTCCAAAATACAAGTGTACGAATTTGGCTATGTAGCCAATCACAATTAAACATGCAGTGTTCCATGGGTGAACATGTCAGTTCTTATATCAGATCATATTGTGTTATGCAACAGTGTAAATTTGGATTTACTCCTCACTATACCTATTTACGGCCGAGCTTCGGGCCCAATTTTAAAGTGAAGCCTCAGCCCTGGCCTATAAATGTCTATTTACGGCCGAGCTTCGGGCCCAATTCCATTAGGGCACCTCTCTCTCTCTCTCTCTCTATATATATATATATATATTTATTTATTTATTTATAAGGGGTGTTTGACAACATGGTTGATTTTGTTATTGAAAACAAAAGCAATTGCCACATCAAAAAAAAAAAAAAAGTTGCCAAATACCCCTTGAAATGATGATCCAATTGGTTGAGCAGTTGAACCATCTGGCCTGATCAATGGTCAATGGATTGTTGGTCTGACATTTAATACTTCCCATTTTATCAAAAAAAAAAGACTATCATTCATCTCACTTATTTATATTTCTTAATACAATTGGATTTTAATCTTAAGAGATATGTCCCTTTTTACAAAGCTTATGACTGTGGGTGTTTCATGATATGCGTTTATCAAAACGCCGTCGTATTATCACAAAATTAGCATTTAGCCTATTATAGTGATTCCTATGCATGGATACTCACAAAAGCTGGCCTTGATTTACATGTGTGCCTACCATTCGTGAAGTGTTATGTGGTGCCTAATGGCACCTAGTGCTAGTGGCACCTACTTGTCATAAACGATTGACATTATTACTTTTCTTGGTGTTGAAGACAAATAAAGTACAAACCTTTAGTTAATAAATGGAAGCTAAACCAAACACATACCAAGTGTTTTTATGTTCTTATTATTTATGATGTTGACCTAGTTGTTTAAATCATTGACCCACATCAGATCGAACAAATTGGTCCCATTTTCAATTTGTTTTTAGGGTAAAATATAAAAAACATACTCTGGAGTTTTTGACAATCGTAATGACCTCCCTTAAGGTTTCACTTTAACAAAAACCTCTCATGTAGTTTCACTAAAACTTGTAGTTACCTCCCTTCCATTTTTATCCAAGTGATGGAGACTTCAAAGTCACAAAACTGTCTTACAACTTATTAAGGCATCCATCAATATATTTCAAAATATTATATTTTCCCTTCTAGGCTTCACTATATCTAAACTAAGGTTCAAAGTATTGATGCGTATCAATGGATCACCAATACATGAAATAAGGGGAATTTCAGGGGTAAGGCCTGTTTTAAGGGGTAGTCAGGCCTTTAACTGATCCCCTAGTCATGTTTGCAATAAAATTCATACATGTGTTAGAATGTTCGTTTGCAAAATTTGTATATTTTTATTTATTTATTTGTGATATTAAATGTTAACACATTTGACCAAAAAAGTTTAATTATTGATCTTTGCCAAACAATAAAATAATTTCATTTTTGGTTATTTATATATTATGTATTTAATTTTTATTATCAATAAAAATAATTATTGTTTATTACTCTTGTGTTTTATTTTTATTAACAAAAATATCATATATGTGTTTAAATTTTTCTATATTTATTTTTATTTTAAAAATTTATTACCTAACTATGACTTTATAAGTTGATCAATTTGATTCGGATGGTTGAATTGCTTAGCCACCACTATGATAAATAGTGGTTTTGTTTTTAAGATAATTTTAAAATATATGGGTACATATGTTAAAAATATTGACATAAATCTAATTAGTAGCATTTATTAGTAAAATATGACTTAAATATATGATTTAATAAGAGAAGACGGGAGTTAATACATTAAGTTATAAGACTTGATAAGAGGGGAATAAGTGATGTGGAAATTAATAATTGAAGTTGTATTTTCAACCCTTACCATTAGAGATGGACTAGATAAATAAATATGAGCATTTTAATAGTCATTAAAATTTGCATAAAAGTTACAATGAAATGACTTTTATACCCTTTATCAAACAATGATGTAAGTTAATTATAGTAAAAAAAAATGATTTACACTTAGCATCCACGCTTTTTATATGTTGTATAGATGTATAGATTTCCATATGTATCCATAGATATAAAGGTAAAATGGGTACTGATGAAGGGAAATTTGGCCCGACCTCGCAATCACCCTACACGTGGCAAAAGCAAGCAACTCGGGGCAGCAGAGCGCCCAAAACGAGCACCGAAAGTCCGAGCTCCCTATTAAGAACCCGAGCTCCCTACTAAGAACCCGAGCTCCCTGCAAGAAGCCCGAACTATCTCGGGTCCTAAGCCTCACGAAGCCGTGACCCGAGTTGGCCCATGGCAGCTTGGAACACTCCCCAAACCGAACTCAAGACATCTCGCTCGCCACTCCAGCACTTTGCTTCCGAAACACCAGACTAACCAAACGTACCTGACACCGAGGACGTCCGTATCCAAGGGCGGCACACCTGACTGATTTGGGATCTGACGCCTGACAGCCGCACTTCAAACGGCCTCCTGCCACCGCAGAGACGGCTCCGACAAAAGGAGCAGTGGCGGTTCTGTCCGGCCAGAGGGGATGACATCCGAACTGGCAGGAGCTCAGAGATAATCATGCCCGATCTGACAGAAGCCTATAAGTGAGTGCGCGAGGTGGTTATAAAAGGCTCCCTACCCCCCAAGAACGAGGTATGCTAATTTTGCACTATCTGGCTTATCTTGCCTTTGAAAGATTCTAACTTGAGCTTCGGAGCCCTCACGCCGGGTTCTCCCTGGAGCTTCTTCACCCCCTCTGTTTCAGGTCCCCTACCACTCAGTTCAGAGGCAAGATCGTTGACAGCTAAGATCGGTCGGATTGTGCATCATCAGGTACTTTTGAAAAGAAAAATGTATTTGGCCAATGTTTTCCGTCAAAGACAAAAAATAAAAGTACAGGTTTTTTCAATACTAGTATACGACATTGGAAGTTATTATGAATATGAAATCATATGGAAAGATTATATGATTGTTAGAAGCTTCGAGGGAGGTTTTATATTTTTACTTTTGTTTTTAAGATGCCATTTAGACTTGACTATATCACTTATTCATGGGTTGAGTAGCCTGATGGCCGAACTCATTCTTAGTTGGGTTTGGTCATGAATTCAGACTTGTGGATTCGGGCTCATTGAGCCCAAGCCTGAGCTCGACCTGATAATATTTATATAATAAAAATGCATTTTATACAACAAAATATATATTTTATATAATAAAAATCATATATATGTTTTCTTTATTCATCTTCTCTTTTTCTCAAGCCATAGTGAGACCTTTTGCTATCTTTGGTTTTTGAGATCATTTAATATAAATATCTCAGTTTATTATTGAGTATATTTTTTCCTCAATTTACTGGTCGGGATTCCGGTTCACGCTCAAGATCTAGGCCGATGGTCGGATCGGGGCGAGTTTGGGCGTGAATGTTGTGTTGATATGGGGGCAAAGCCCGGCACGAACCCGGCCCGGCCCGTGACACAGGATAATAGTGACGTATCATTTTGTTGGTGGACCGTGGACAGTGCCCGGTGGTGTGGGCTGTGTGGCCACGTGTGCTGATCTCCCAGATGCGAGAGTGAGAATGCACGCCCAAGACTAAGAATGATTAGATTCTAATCTGACGTTTAAAAATTGAATCTCACGTGAAAGTACTTCATCAAATCAAATGCCACTGCGTATTAAAACAAGTGAAACGCTTTGACTCTCATCGGACATTAGCTTGGGCCCTTGGGGGAATGAAAATATGAAATAGAGGAATAAGAATTTATATATATTTTCCTCGTTATTTTCTCCTCCCAATAAACACGCTGAGTCGACGTTGGCGAAAGCCCAAATTTTTAGCTGCCGAGAGATGGGCAAGTCGTCAACAATCGGGTTTCTCCTCCTCTGTCTATCGCTCTCTCTGTTGTTGCAGAAAAGCCGAGCATCTTCAACATCACCCCCTTGGGGAAATCAGGTATTTACGAAGGAAATTCTACTATTAACCATTCTGTTTTCCCCTTCAATTTCATTTATGTTGTTCTGTGCATGCCTATCTATACTTTCATGAATTAAATATAGAAGATGATGAAGAAAACACTAGAGTTAGACAAATTGGTCTCTGGTTATGTTCTCTCCTCGATTTTAAGCTACGAGATTTCAAAAACGGGTTATTCACGAAATTCAAATATATTGCTTTTCAAATTTTACGTGTTGTTGTTGTTGTTGTTGTTTTATATTCTGATGAGAAAAGGGTCATAAATGACTACAATTATACGTTGAGTACAAACCTTCTTTTGTAATTGATCTATTGACCGAGTGTTGAATTACATAAACAACTTGGCAGATTTTGCTGCCGTTTCTCTATGGTTAGCTTTTGATTTTTTTTCTTAATCAACTTAATTAACACTTAATTTTGATTCAAACTTTTTAAATTTGACTTAATAAAGGCAATGTATGTATATCCAACACCAAACACAAATGATCTCATTTTTTTTCTTGTTTTATTTATATCAATTTATGAGTCTCCTAATGATATCAGCACCTTCGAAGTTATTGCTATTTTTAATGAATGAAGTGCTACTGCTATGCGTTCCTAATTGGGTATTTCCACTTTGATTTATATGTTTGTTTGCGATGTTAAGGTTCTCTAGGGTATAATTCCAAACAATAAAATATTTGTGGTATACTCTGGTGTCCTTTCTAGTCTTGTGGTCCTTTCTGTTATATGTTCCTCAATTTAGTAGCTCAGCACTCTATATTTTCTATGCTGCCATAGTCTTTGCTTCCACTATATTCTTTTGTGAGTTTACTTTGTATTACTAATGTCCATTGCTCTCCATCTTTACCAATTTTATTTGTTTTATGCTTCAGGAGTTGGAAGGATCTGCTGGTGCAAGGTAATGTGATATCATTATTTATATCTGATAACATATTTTCTCTGTATCTGTTCTGAGCATCAGACGGGATATTCCAAATGAAGTCTCTATGTACTGGGGCTTCAGAATTAATTGTGAAAAATACTTAGTTGTCGGTTACGATATATAACACAAACTCTAGAATTCATTTAATGGAATCAGTGACTGGTTGCATAACTGATGCAGTGAACGGGTTTGATTTGGAGTGGATCTAATTCTACCAAATTTGATCTAATTCCATATTACGTTATTTGAATTTGATCCAAGCTGTCAAATTCCAATAAATATAAAACTGTGCTAATCAATAGTTATTGGAATCTATGATACCCAGATGCATCTATGAGGGTGCAATATTGTGTCGGATGCTTCAGTTTTTAGTGTGAATTCTGCATTTGATACCTTGTCCAGCCAATTTCTTGCCATATCCTGATAACATAGATTGGATGTGCATACATAAATGTGTACTATCAGATTGGGTTGAAGTATATAATTCAAACCCAATCTGATTACTAACCAGTTTGGAATTTGGGTATCGATTGATAAAAATAGATAGGACCCATTGATAGCCCTTTGCTTACAATCTTGGATTTTTCTCCAGTTCTGTTGAAAAGTGTCCATGTTTAATGCAAAGTTTGGTTTAATTTACAGAACTCTTAAGCAAGAACAGGGGCACAGTCCTGAAGTACATTGCTCTAGAGAAAGGAGTCGCGCTGCCTGGAAAATAACTGAGGAGGTACTACCATAATACAATATGTAGATGTTCCTAGGAGCTGCTCACTTTTAAATAACTGCTTTGTTCAGTTAAGTGACAAATTTGTTCCTTATATACCTCCAATTGTGTGCAGTACCTGATGCCATTTGTAGAGAAAGAGCAGTATCAAATTTCAAATAAGTGCAGGCTTCATCCTGACAATGACATGTTCAGAGATCAGGAGCTGCACAAGATTCATATGGATGTAAATGAATGGCGGTGTGGATACTGTAAGAAAAGCTTTCGTGCAGAGAAGTTTCTTGACCAGCACTTTGACAACAGACACTCCGATTTGCTAAATGTTGTATGTGTTCACTAGTTTCCTGTATACCCACCTGGCATTTCTTTCTTTCATTGGATTTTGATTTTACATATAGGCCATTAGGCCCACAATTTTCTTGGACATATTGTTGAAACAACCAAGTTCAATGTTAATTAGTATATGATGAGTGATGCCATTCCTAGGTTATCACTATGGAAATGTTTTACAATCTAAAATTCCCAATTTTGATGTGTTTAGGAACCATGAAAAATGAATGTAAATTTTTTTTAGTTATTTTGATATCCATTGCATAAAATTTCCCCTTCTCATTCATGTGCTGTCTATGAGGACAAGCCACCAACCTTCTTGTTTAAGCAAAATAATCTGTTGTGTTCACTCACAAATTCATCATGATCAAGTATATTATCAATTATGATGCTAAATTCTTTTCTCGACGAGAACTAAGGAGTTCCATGAATTTCATCAGCATAGTCAATTGCGTATTACCTTTATGTGTGATGTAGGACAGGCACAACAAGAAACGACTTCAAATCAAATTTATATTCATTCCATCTCTAAGTGAAGCTTTACAATAGATATATGAAGCTCTAGGGTAGGTTGGAGGCCATACCTAGGCTTTCTTTAACAAACTCAAATACTTGATGACCAACAAAGGGATTACCTAACACCCAAGAGTTTCTAATTTTATGCAAACTCTTATAAAGCAAGAATAACATCCTAACCTAAATTACAGAAAACAAAAATCACTATCAATAATAAATTGCAATTTTACAATGAGTAGCAATTACATGAATTATTATAAATACTAAGTCCAAGAATTACCATAAATTGTAATTCCAATTTTTACTAAGAATCACATATTTTAGAAGGCTGAAATTTAGCACTACAACCACCTATCACTTCCCAATAAATTTCCCTTAATGGGGTGTTGAACTTATGTATCCCTTGGACGCCTTATGAGCTCAATGACGAAAACTCTCAATTTCCTTGAACTTCTCTAAATTGCAGAAAGCCCTTGTCTTCTTTTTTGTCCTTTTCACCTGCATTGATGCACCCCTTTCACTCCCTTGCATTTTCATAGGAAGAGAGTAGAAAAAATGTATGGCATAGCCCAAGCAGTTCGCTAAAGCTTATAACCAACTTAAATATGTCGTCGTTTTTGCTAAAGTTGTGTACAGTGATGTTATTTCTTTCTTGATTGGGATAATAATGGAAGTATCTAAGACCGAGGATAATCTACATTTTTGTCATTTGTCTTCTTAGGTGAAGCCTTGAGGTTTACTTCTTGTCTTTCCCTTATTCCAATTCTCACAGTGTCAGACTTGTTTGAAACTTTTATAAAGAATTCTTATCATATATTTACTCTTTATAGTCTCAGATCCATCTTTATGTTTCTGACAAGTATCTCTTCTGAAACAGTCACTTCCATGTGATCATTTATCACCACTTCTCTATTGATGAATAGTTTGTGGTTTCTTAGACATGTCCAAAACTTTTCAACTGATTTTGTATAACTTAATGTGTATTTATATCATATCCCTTTGCGACGATTTTTTTAGGGATTGATGTGCCAGAGATTTGTCAACATCCGAGTATTTGTCATCTATGCCATGTACTGGGTAACATGGCTTTCAATCAGGGCACATATTTCTATCAAGAGAAAGAGCACAAAAGAGCAGGAAAATGCTTGGGCACAAGTTTCTACCATCTGTTTTTAAGAATTTTTTTATTGCTTTTTATTATTTTTCTGTTTCCCATTATGATTTAGTCAAATGCATAGTTAATAACCAAGTACATCTGTTTTCCCCTGTATGTGGCACCATAATAATTTTTCATCACTGGAAAGGTCCTTACCAACTCTTTCATCCTATCACCGTCCTTTTAACATGGTGCTTAAAGGTTTCTCTTGAGTGTTGGTCATTGTTCTTGAACCTAAATGTTCTAACAATAAATAATTGTTGAAACGTGCCTGATCTCTATCTATTCCCTGGCATCGCTTTTTCCTAGTTGAAGCCTTCAGGTGTTTTTCTTCCTGACTATTGTTGATTATTCCTTGGCTGGGAAAATTTTCCAACAACATATCATCTGACAATCCCGATATGACTTGCTTTTATTGAATCCAGAGTCATGGCAAGTGTTTGGCAGATTTATGTGGGGCTTTGCATTGTGACCTTGTTATGGATTCTAAGTTGCGGAAGACCAAATGCAATCCTGCAGCTGCTGAAAGGAATCGTCATCTTTGCGAGGTTGCATCTGACAGTATAGCTAAGCTCTTTTGTTATCGGTTCATATGCTTTTCCTCATCTTTATTCTCTTGCTTCTGTGCAGAGTCTTGCTGACAACTGTTTCCCCATTGGTGTGCGCTCAGCAGCAAGCCGTCTTCATGGTTCCTTTTTGTTCTTTCTTCATTCCCTATTCTTGAAATATGCTGTATATGATTATTGTCATTCTAAGTAACAACTCTTATGCTCCAATGATTTTGAATTGCAGAATTGTTCTTACGCCAATTTTGTGATGCCCACACTTGCACTGGTCGGCACAAACCATTTTCTAGAGGGGGCAGGGTAAAGTTTTTTTTTTGTCTCTTGTTTTGATAGGTAGTGTTCTGGTTAAGATTCAATAATCTTAAGAGGTTGCATAAAATAATTGTTGAGAATATGAGGATTGTCATCTTCCCTGCAGGCAAACATGCTTGCACCTGTGAATTGGATTGGTTCCATCCAAGTCACCCTGATGACAAAAGTAGATAATTATAAATTTACAATCAAGCATTTTGGTTTTTATTTAATCTCATGAGTTCCTAATGTGAGACTCAACTACCTGCATGTGCTTGAAGTGTACAGCACATCGTTACGGAAGGCCATATAGCTTACATGTTCCTGGCTCCTAGTTTTGCATCCAGGCTACTGAGTGAAGAAATTTATGCCTCTTTTTCATTACATCATACACTGCATGTCTGCAAGCTTATGCATAGGTGTTTGCATCCATAAGATCAAGAAGCTTAGTGTTCTTGTTGGTTATATTTTTGGTTATTGATATTTGTGTTCCACTGTTTCTTGTCTACAGAAACAAGTTAGTGTATTCTACATTGCCATTTCAATATTGACTTTGATGTTGCTGCCTGTGTTCTATCTTCTTGTCTATTTACATAGAAGGTATCCATTCTTGACCTTCAATTGCTTCTTGTACAACTCTTTGGATGGCATCATGATGCTTGAGTGTGTTATGTTGCAGAGAAATGAGAACGAGTATCCAAGATCTGAAGCGCATCTCAAAAATTGGACAGAAGACAAAGCCCTTATAATTTGGTAATTTCCGTATGTTTCTTTGGAGCTCCTGGTGACCTAAATCACTTCACCTATATACATACATCATGCTATTGTAATGTTGCCATTCGTCATACTCCAAGGCCCACTCACATCCAGTACCGACTTATTAACAAATTTTCCTGATTCGATGATTCCTGCATGTTATCTTGTATGTTTCCTTTATGAAGTTCACTACCAAGGCCATTAGAGCCTGTCGTTGAAGAACTTAGGTGTATGCCTCAAAGTCAGCGGTTAGAAATTGCAATTTCCTGTTGGTCAAGCTTTTAGTTTAGTTCATCAAGCTGTGGGCACCAACATTCACAAGCCATGAAGTGATTTCAGCCATAAGCTGCAGTTTTTAGTCCATAGTCCACATGCATAAATCATAATTCATTATATATATTTGCTTACATGAGGCATGTGGTTACACATATTCCTCGGTTTCTTCTCATTATAACTGAAAGTTAGTTGACCTGTCCCTATTTCTGTGTCGTAGGTCAGGCTTGAGGAGTTGAAGCATTGGGTGTCATTCTGGTGAAACAACAAAGGATTCTGGTTGCATGGAACTAAAATTCGATTTGCTTTGCTTTACCAAATTTTGCACATCATAACTTCAATGTTGGCCGTTGAGGGTGAAAGAACTGCCTTTGTATTGTCCATGCATTCCTTCAACAGTTCCATTCCTTTGAATTCTGTAAAATTCCTTTACTTGTGCTATTACCGTAAGAAGAGGATCTGTTAAAGGATGCATCTGCAAGGGCCAATGTCTCTGGATCAACATTCTTCATGTTTACTTGGGTTGGTCAAATAACAATACAGCTTCAGTTGAAAAATTGGAAATTGTCATTTTTAAATGGTCAAAAGTACCCATCAATGTTAGTCCATTTGTTGACATGTTAACTGAAGAGAGCCACTGTTGCCCATTGCTAGAGGAGAAGACATTGAATCCACAATGAAGAGAAAAGTAGGGGTGATTTCCTGTTCTAAACATGTCAGCAAAGCCCAACATCTTAAAATTCCAAGTTACCTACTAAAAATTTGTATTAAAAGTTTAAAACAAGCCCCAAAATCATCTTTTACGATAATTGCATTAAAACTTTCTACACCCAAAAATCATATATAAGAAGATAATTGGTTTTATCATGAAACAAGTGAGGGTAATTTAGTTCATTTCATGGGAGTATAATTTTGTTTTTTATTTAAATCTTTTTTTTTTTTTGAGATCTTTTGAAGGGCTACACAATGGGGGTAGGATGGGTAGTCCATTCCCCAATCCATTACCCCCCCACCCCAATTCAGGTGCAGGCAGGATTCGATCCCAAGTCTGCAACAACCAGCAAGAGACCGTACCAACCCGTTGGTTGGCACCTTGCTTTCCTAAAATCTTTAAAGTCATGTGAGTTCATGAAAGAAAGAAAAATATTTAGGGGTTTGATAGAAATAGGGGAGAAATAGAAAGATGAGGGAAAGTTGTTAAAGGACTTTTGTTGCTCTTAAGTCTCAACTTTCTGTCTCTCTTATATTCTATCAAATCAAACACAGCCTTAAAAGGAATACTAATAGAAAGGAGGTGTTAGTGATGCGAGGTCAGCTAAGAGGAGAGGTTTTAATAGGTTTTGAAATCAATATGATAGGTGGGCATGGACATCCAGGAATCAGGATTGTAGGTGGTAAGCAAGAGAGGAGGTGTTCGGTGTTCCTCCTCCAAAAGAGACAGTTTGGCGGCGTGGTAGGCTGTTACTAGATGCCACTTTTTCTCGAAAGAGAAGTTGAAAATAATTTGCGATTCGTGGTTGGTCTTCCATTATTTGGCTTAAAGAACAGAGAACAACAATTGGGAAATTGCAGTAATTGGGACGGGGGTTGGTGGTGCCGTGGTGTTAGTGGAGGTGCTGTGATCTGAGATGCAATGCAAGACATGGAAAGGCCGAGGTGGGGGTTTCATGAAAGCAGTTGTTTTGTTGTCACTTCACTCGTATATCCCTCTCACAAGTCGCGAGTACAAATTTTACAATTTCATACCATAGATGAATTAGCTAAGCCCAGTTTGAAATGAAAATAAGATCCCACATCGGATATGTGAGGAAAACTGAAGCCAAAGACACACTATAAAAGAGACTGGAGGATGTCGCCTAACATCACGCAGCCGCGCGGTGAGCACAGAGCGAACTATTCGTTCGCCTTTTACTAAAGAATACCGTGTTCTCGCCTTTTAAAGCGGCATACGCTTATTTTTCGAGGGCTTATCTTACAAGATACCCCTGACAAGTCTTTCAACCTCAAGGTATTTTACCGTTCTTTCAAGAGGATAATGCCTTATTCGGTCAAGCCAGATTGAACCGAACCGTCTCTGAGGATGATATCATTTTTCAGGGCGTTTGTTTGTGTGTGATTAGAATGGCAAGTTTTGATTCTGATTTCGATTTTGACTATTAACCAAATATAGTTTTGTTTCATTCTGTTCCCTTGTCATTTCTTTTAAACCTTCTCCCATGAAGCTAATATGAACTATCATAGGTCTGGTTGAGGCCAACCTTAGTCCAACCCTAATTCAACCTGACATACCCAATAGCTCAGATTGGGCCCAACCCAACCTTCTTCCCACCCCTTAAAATCTTGTAAAACTTTTTGATCTCATATCTTCACTCAACTTTCATTACATATATTGATCTTATGTTTTATTAGTATTTGTTTCTTGATGTTTTTATTGGTTCTTTTAAGTACAAAATTAAAAAAAAAATGTATTTGAAATTACTATAATTTATTATGATGACTTATAATATAAGCAATAGAGAATAAAATATTCAGAAAAACATAAAATATGTTATTAAGGTTTTAGCATTTTAAATTAGGATCAAGTGAAGTGATTATCTTAAATGAAATAAATAATAGTATGTGGTAGTGGTTGTACAACTATCATGCGTCTAAACAAATCAATGTATGATCATATATATATATATACTATAGCGGATTCGAATTGAATCGGATTGCCCAAAGGTACCCTAACCCAACCAAAAATAATATCGAGTTCATAAATTTCAACCCTAACCCTAACCCAAGCATCAACCAGACCCAACCCGGGTTGAGTTAGGATTAGGTTCGGGCTATCCTGCCTAAGTTGCAGCCTTAGTTACGTTCAATGCCATATCCATCGTCGTTACAGTTGTTTAATTATTTTGTTCCTTTTGTGCCGTGCCTCCTCTTCTCTTGACGTTCCAATTTGTCAAACTCAAATCTCTCTCTCTCGGATAGCATTGTGCAAACATACGTACCACGGCTCTAACTTTAAACCATTATAAATAGGGTTTTCTTTTCTCTTATGACTCTCCTAGAATTCAGCTGTTGGTATTATTAGATACACAGCGAACCCAATTTGGTCGGCACCATCAATTGAACTACGTCCTAATGGTGCAGGTGCAACCATTGATGGTTATACAAAAATGTAACAATATTCAGGTAAAAAATTTCAAGTGCATAACAGAACGATTCTTAAAAGTGGAGATGAAAGAAAAGACAACATAAATTACAAAAATGTAATTGTCCTATTAATAATGATAGTTATACAAGATATTTTACCATGTATGGTCCTTCGAGCTCATATCCCAATTTTCTATAATAATGTCGGGTTCCAACCCCTGAGATTACAGCTATTTTTTTGGATCTATGCTCCCTACGAGCAATCCGCTCTGCCTCCTCCATCAGAAGTGTTCCATAGCCCTGTCGATCAAAGGGAAACAAAATCAAATTCAAGACCTATTAACAGTATCACTCTTTTTAGAGGCTCTGTTTGAAATGTTATTGAATAAAAGGAATGCATTTGACAGATGAATCCCCTAGCAGAGAATTCTATGCAACTTAGAAACCTATAATTGGCCAGATCAAGTGAAGTGAATCCCCAGAAGGAGGCCAATAATGATATCATCTACTTCTCATATCACTCAATGTAGCTGAAGGTCTGGTAGTAAATGGATCTAAAAAACCTGTCTGGAATACCTTTACCCATTTCCTCCAAATTTAATTACCTGGTGCTGCAGTTTGTCAGCATCCCGACCATGTACTGGTACTGCTGTTCCATAAACATGGAGTTCACGAACAATAGAACATCTTCCAGTGAGTTCAGGACATGTTGTGTTTCGGCCACATTTCCGCAAACGTAACAACCCAACAAGAATATCCTGTATTCCCACCAAAATTAAAAACTAACAAAAGATTGGAACACACTTTGACTAAGTAGTTAGCAGTAGGCCAATAGACCATCCGATAATATCCTTTTGCATAGTTTTTTCTTATAAAGCCAGCAAGGGAAAGGACATGTTTCACTGTTCATCTCCTCCCCAACTTGTTTACAAGGGAACCAATTACCAGGGAAAGGACACTCTTGTCAAGGTCCAAGCAGAGAGAGAGAGAGAGAGAGAGCACCAAAACAAAACAAAAAAACTATGGAGCATTTCATCTGTTATCGCTATGTTAGTGATTGATAAGATGAAATGTTATATTTACCACTAGACGAGGAAATTATAGAACGTGTTACCAGTCCTTCCCCTCTCTTCTGAGGCCTGAAATGTCTATTAAACTAATGAAGTATAAGATTAGTATGATGATTATCATTTAGATATTGTTTCAACTCAGACTCTGGTTTTGGCATGGTTAGGCATCTAGAATCATCTTTGATGCCCCAAATTAACTGTTTTGAGAACCAGAATGTTGACCAACCAATAAAATGGACTGTGTCAGGGAGTCAACGGTTGAATTTTTTGGGTTGCCCTTGGATCTTGAATCAACTAAAATGATTTATAGATAACAAAGAGAGCAAAAATGATTGAAGACATTCACAAGCACATTTCTAGCATAAACTAAATGACAATGCGAAAGACAAAATAAGAGAGAGAGAGACCTGGCGTGTATCTTCGTATGAGAGAAAAGTTTCCCAACCCTCATTTGCTGCATAGTCACGGCGAACAAGCTCCACTTCTTCAGGTTTTATTTTGTGATGAATGTCCTAAACTCCCAAAACAGAAATGTCAAAAGTTATTTTTTTTTGCTCTTAGAACAAAATAGGCCAACTAAATAAAATTATAATTTTTTAGGTCTTTTATCCAAATTAGAAAAACTGTGTTCACTTACTTGAATTCCAGCTTCACGTGTTCTGACATCACGGCATTTCAAGCCCAAGTCATCCATCCGAGCCAAAGCCAGCTCCCGGAGATTTCCCTTCTCAACTCCAGAAGTTACTAGGGGCATGGGAATATCCCTTTGAACTCTATAAACACGTGTCCATGGAGGCACCATGGCTAAGATCCTTGCTATTATGTCTACAAGTTGCTCTGGTGGATAGTTTCTATATCTGCAAGGGATGAGTGAAAAATATTTGCTAGCCATCAGGCATCTATTATGGGTTTAAATCAATAACCAATAGCCATGTTATACACCAAAATTGGTGCATCCAGTATGGGGAATTAAATTGTTCAACATTATAAGATGGAGGCATACATTTCAAGTGACCATCATACCTTCCAGTTTTCCAAAGCTCATAAAGCCCTGTTCCACGAATTACGAGTGTTGGGTAGATCTTAAGACCATCTGCCCTAAATGATGGACTCTCAAAGAATTCACGAAAACTCTCTAAGTCCCTCTCAACTCCAACATTTGGGAGATCAGGCATCATGTGAGCAACCACCTGAAGAAGCATGCAAATTTGCACGGAGATGACAACCAACCACAGGGAGATCAGTTCATACTGGAAGTAGGCATCATTAGTATGGCATTCTCATGATACAATTCCTTGCTTGACATTGCTCAACATTCCCTGAAGAGAGAGCATGTAAATTTGGTAAATAATCCACTCACCTTAAACCCAGCATCCTTTGCCAGGCAAAAGCAATCAGCAACAGCAGCTACAGTGTGCCCTCTATTAGTGTCACAAGCAACATCTTCATAGGTGCTTTGAACCCCTATTTCCAATCGTGTACAGCCATAGGAAAGCATCTGCCGGAGATGAGGTCCAAGGCAATAATCTGGCCTCCTAATAGATTAAAGATCATGAAGGACTTAAGTTAAAATTCACTTCTATCAGTGAAAGAAATGAGTTCCAGCGGTCTCGTGGAACATTTATAAGTTAACTTGGCTTTACAATTAGAGTTTGTTGCAAATGGTTTAAGTGAAACTCTTGGAAGGAAACTCCAACTGCAGTGAAGTTACTAGAAATTGGAACTTGGGTTAAGAAAACGTTTGATGATGCACTTAGGAGTCTTGAGGTATTTCTTTCCATTTGAGGTATCAACCAAAGGAGTCTTGGTTGTTTCTTGTGTTTTCTGTTGTGCTTCTATGGTGCACTTAGGAGATAAACTGATAAAGACACATCAGTCTTCATGACTGAAGCCATGGTGAAGATAGAATGTGCTTCAAATGGGTCTTCAAGTGAGGCATCATTGTCTCATGCACTTTAACTTCGTGAAGCACACTCAATCTTCACTGTGCACTTTCCTGACATGCCTACATTTTCAGAGCAAAAGGTGGGATTATTGAATTGTGAGTAGTAACCATGTAGCCAGATCAATTGTGATGAACTTATAGCACAGCTGCAGGAAAAGTAGGACTTTCCCATCTTCTCAAATCTCAGAAATAACCAAGATTTTGAACTCAAATCTGACTTACGTTTCAATTGTCATGCCAATACACTTTATAGCACTGTGCTCAGAGTAACAAACTGCCTCCTCAACATTGGCAGAAGTGTGTCCTGACAATGCATCATGAAGATTTCGAATAAAGTAATCACGATATTCAGATGGCAATGACATGAAAGTGCCCCCCATTAAGATGAATTCAACCTGCAAAATATTCATCAGTTGTAATAGTAGAACATGCCTTTCTATAAAAAAAAATCATATTTTGTTTAGTACAACTAATTGGTCAGTGCCCAATTTATTATGCTATAAAGGAAAAAATAAGGTCAAACCTTATCCACACTATGTCCCAAACGTTTCAGCTGATCTATTCTGCTTCTGGCCTGGACATATGGGTTATATCTGGAATCATGTAAGTTGTAATTAGAAATGAGAGGGTAGCTTGGAAGAGTAAAGCACAAAAATATATGCACTTTTGAGGTACTTCCACACTAAAAGAATCTGAAGATTGAAACTAAACAAAGAAGCACATTCACTAAAGGTTTAGGAATTGAAAACTTGTCATTTGAAGTTCTTAGCCAACTAAGCAATAGTAAGAACCATAACGTTATCATTCATACGTTGAGTCACCAGGGCTTTTCCTTCTCAAGAGTACATATTCCTTAGCTTTCCACTTTCTAGAACATCCTCAAAAGTTGAAAGAAAACCATGCATATGGGTCTTACCTTGGCATATGGCACTTGTGCCAAGTATTCAGGTGTCCATAGATGTCCGCCATGCCAACCTCCAAAATTCATGGCATGAGAAAATAACAATATATAGTATTTAGTTACATATACAATGCAAATAGTAATCATAAGAAAACAAGGGGGTGTTCTACAACATGAATGTTTTTGTTTTCATTTGTTTTTTGAAATCACCACATCAGAAAAAACAAAAACGTGTTCTTGAACTTTGTTTTTCTTTTGGAAGGCAAAACCAAGTTGGTTTTGTTTCAAATATATAATACATGTTTTTGGAACCATCAAAATGATAGTATTTAAAACAAAAACAAATTATGTAGTGTAGAAATTATATAATTTATGAAACATAATATTAGATAAGCAGATGAAAACATGTTTTTGAAACTAGAAATTCAATAAGAAAAACAATTCACGTTGTAGAACACCCCCTAAAGTGCCAAGTCCTTAGATGCATTCCTTCTTTTGGTTATGAGTGCAAAGTGCCAAGGTTTTATGCTGGATTATACTTGGAGCGTCACCAAGTTGCTACAAGAGATATCATGCCAAGGATCTCTTCTTGCACTCTCTAGGTCCTTCACTAACTGCTTATTATCTAACGTAGTGGTAAACAGAAACATCTGATTGCTACGCCGTTGCAGTTGCTCCTCAGAAAGCAAGAAATAGAGATTCAATAATGCTGAGTCAGATTAAGATATATCCAACTGAAGACAAAACTATCCAATTTATACACTGATGATAATAGAGACCAAACAGTTACACATCAAAGTGTAATCCGGAATATAAAACACGGGAATATAAGATTCTACATATCCATTAAATGAACTTGGAAAAAACATTTTTAAGTAAGATAAGTAGAAGAGAGCAGGAAAGATTACCTGGCGCGAATTGCTCGCATGCTGGTAGGTTCGTAACCAGTGTAAGACTGGGTACTGTACTCGAAATCGGAATCAGGTCCGCCGGGGCAATACACACAGATATTCCCTGTAGTGGCGATGTGTGGACAACGATGGGGTTTCGACATTACAGCGACGACGGCGATACCCGAGGCTGTGCGAACGGGCTTGGCTCGGAGGCGAGGGAGTAGAGACTCGCGTTCTGACTCTGGAAGCGCTGCTATCATCTCGACGAGTTTGGGGGCACGAGCGAGTCCATACTTGCGACACGCCGCCGATTTGAGAGCATTAAGATCGACGTTCTCTCCCCTGCGCGATCGCTCCACCATGCCATTCACGATTTCCGCGATGGCCCGGACTCGCGCTTCCTCTTCGCTGAGTCCGTGGGCTACCACTCCGCCTCGACCGGGCCGAGGCATCTTCCTTGGCTCAGCGACTTCGGCCGTCGCCATGGAAGAGAGAGAGAGAGAGAGAGGGCGCTGCAAATACAGTTTTCGACTTTCTTCGCCCTCTTCCATTTTTAGGATTGAGGTCATACTTGAGCCTTCAGGCCCACTATTAGCCCAGGCCTGGCCCAAAGCATGAAAATCTAAACCCAGCCCATGAATTGAACTGTTTGCAAATTACAAGATAATCATCATCCGGTTACTTTGGACCCAAAATTACCGGGATCACGGATCGGGTCGATGCGGCACCCTACAAGATATTTTAATTCGGATCACCTCAATTCGGATAACATGCCTTACGGGAAATTTCTTTAACACGCGCATCCCTTCGCGCTGTGGCGATTCCAAAAATTGAAGAAATCTGCCTCGCGTCGAAGTGCAAACCTCGATAGTCTCTGTTCGAGCACTTTCCATGGAGGAGTTAAGCAGAAGAGAGCTTGAGAAGAAAATCCTCGAAAAAGTTGGAGGCGTGATTTCCGCCATTAACGATGCAAAGCACGTTGATGAGGTCATCTGCGCTCTTCACTCCATCGCGGTTCTGCTATTCCCGCTCGATTCGTCACTTCTGTCTGGTAAGTGAGGAAGCTTTTCTCAATTTTCCCTTGTCTAGGGTTTTCAATAGAAGATTCCGTTTCCGTTAACATGGAGAAAGTGAAATTTGTTTCTTCCGCAAAATAGACTTCAAAGAGTTCTGTTAACCGTCTCCTCGAATTGCAGGTAGCATAGATCGTCGATACAGGGATAAGGTGTGTCGAATTTCATTATACATATATTCGAGTTTTTAGTACATTTCATTTACTAATTCGAGTTTTTAGTATACTCTGATTTGAATTGGTAGTGTGTATTATCTGAACTTTCTGATATTTGAACTCAAACTTAGATTTTCGTGTTATTTACCAAAAAAGAAAAGGAAAGAACTCAACCGTAGATACTGTTACAGTTACTTCATAATACAAAGCCTCTGGGTATGTGTTTCACAATATCTGTTTCCAACATGTTCAGGTTCTTGGAATTGAGGGCCCTTCTCCTCTCGAGAGGGAAGAGTGGTGGCACATTTTCTATCGGGGATCTCCATTTCCGATACTAGCTAGGGTTTTAATATATGGTAAGCTGTCTACCATCTAATCAAACGCATAACTCCTGTACAACAACTGTTTAGGATGTTGAATAAATATTGAGTCATTTTACAGACTGCGCAGCAGCTATTTTCTTCGTAGTTAATAGGAAATTGTCGGTTTGCTAATCTGCTTTCATATTTATTTCTGGGAATTGGAAGTAACTCTTTGGCTCAACCAAACACCGTTTATTCAATTCTGGATATATATATATATATATATTCACTTCTAACCATTTTCCCAACTCATCATGAGTGGCAGCTGTCAGCCATTAGTAATGCATGACTACCTGGGTTGATTATTAGACCAGACCGCATTGGATGGACTTAGCCTGGTCTATGCTGGGTCGGATGTCCATGCTTTTACATGTGGTTCTCATAAAATTTGCTTTTGTACATGCAGATATTGCCTCAAATTGGCTAGCATGTTTCCCTTTTTCAGCACGGATGCATGTCTATGATTCTTTCTTTTTGAATGCACCTACAACTGAGGTTGTTCAGGCTGTAGTTCCCAGTCTAGTGCAAAACGGAAGTAATAAAGATGTAGATGCAAATGCTATCTGCTCAAATGCTGAAAGGTATGTTGCTAATTGTCTATATTTCTGTTTTTGGTTGAGCTTATATTTTGTTTTCTCTTTGGAATTTAACTGTATCACAACATATGCTTATAACTTAGGCTTTTAAAGTAAAATGTTTTTCGGTCCTCTCATAAACAAACAGAAACATTTTGGACACGCCTATTTGATTATGTAAGTTAATAGCATTAACTGTGTTGCCATGCCTCAGTAAAATGTTAGAAACAAATACTTGTAGGTAAAAGACCAGAAAAAAAAGAAAGCACATATTCTTAATTCGCAATATACAATAAACTTGTGTTTTGAAATGTGGTTGTTGACAGCTTAATAAAAAAAGTTGTGAAGACAGACCGCTGGGCAAGTGGGCAAGTGGGCAAGGGACATCAACACTGCCCTGTTGGGCAAGTGGTTTTGGAAACAATCAGGGAGGACTCTGGAGGAGGGTGATTGCAGCAAAGTATGGTTTCAGAAACTCTGGTTGGGAGCCAGAAAGCCCAAATCAGAGTTGTGGTTGCTCTTTATGGAAAGGTTTTGAGAAGCTCGTGACTCTTTCTCAAAAGGAATAAGGTTCAAAATTGGTGATGGTCTGAGGGTAAAATTCTGGGAAGACACGTGGTGTGAAGACAAACTGCTGAAGGAGAGTTTTCCTACTCTTTTTGAGGTGGCAGTGAACAAAAATTCTAGTGTGGCTGAGAATTTGCAAGTGTTCAATGACAGTGTGATGTGGGTTCCTCAGTTCAGAAGACTTTTGAATGATTGAGAAGTAGAAGCTATGGTGGATTTTCTACAAAGATTATATGATACTCAGATGGACATTGGGAGTGCTGATAGAAGAGTGTGGAAATGGGACAAATCTGGGAAATTTTCAGTTAAATCCTTCTATAAGGCTATCTCAAGGTCGGAAGAGCAGAATATCCCAGTTCAAGTCATCTGGTGCAAGAGTGTTCTATCTAAGGTGGCCTTCTTTGTGTGGCTGGCCTGCCTGCATAGACTCTTAACCAGAGACAATCTGGTCAGAAAAGGGATGCAGTTTGACATCCACTATCTGTGTCTTCTGTGAGGCTCAAGAGGAATCTGTGAATCACCTTCTGTTACACTGTGGCTTTGACCAAGAACTGTGGTTTAAAATCTGAAACCTATTTGAAATAAAGAGCCGCTGCCCGGAGTCAGTTATGGATTTTTATCAGGTTGGAGTTTAGGGGGTTTATCGTTGAAAGGAAAGTTGGCTTGGAACATGGTGCCTGCAGCTGTTTTTTGGTGTTTATGGAAGGGAAGAAATGCAAGAGTTTTCAAGAACAACCACAGCTCTCTCGACACAGTGTTTCAGAGAATAGTGGGCAAAATGGTGTCTTAGCTTTCTGTAAACAAATTATTCAAGAATAGGAATTACAACACTTTTTTTGTACATGAGAATATCTTTTTGTAAAGCAGGGCTGGGGGGTATTGATAGTATTTTGTAAATCCCTGCGTACAGCTTCTTGTTGTATATGGTTTTGTTCTCTTTTTTCTCCTTTAATGACATTATACTTTACCTGTTTCAAAAAAAGTTGTTGACAGATTCTTAATCAAATATTTGATATCAATTTATCATGACATATTTTCTTATTAGAGTTTGTAATGTTACATATAGTTTGCTCAAATTTAAAATAAACAAAGTTTGTCTTGACACATAGTTAATTAACACTGTTTTACCCTGAATGGCTTTTAAAATGAAAAGCAAGGCTGGGTAAGGATTAGAATCTACAGTGATTGGATAACCGTAAAATTTAGGTTTACAATTTTTTTTTTGCCTTTTTTGTACTCATGTACATCCCCTTCATGGACATTCCGTCTTTTAATAATATATCTTGTTATTTTCTTCTAAAAAAGTCATTTGATGAGCTCATATTGAATTTGTTATGGTCAACCTTCTGAATGGGATATGAGAGCAAAATCCACTAAGGTTGCTTTCTTTGCTGGGATTAGATTCTTATCCAAGTTTTGATTTATGAGGATTTGGAATGTTTTGCATGGGAGGGTAGTTTCCAAAGGAAATTGCTTTTTCATTTATCTTGTTAGAAAGTGGAGAAGCAATGCTTTTCTAGGTGTATAAGTTACTCCCAAATGAGTGCCTTGTATGTACTTGTTAACCCAAAAATAAAGGTCTCTTATGATTTACCATTACATTCATGACAGGATATTGGTACTATGCTTGCTTGAAAACAATGGTCTACTCAAGATGGCTAGAGAATTTGGTGGTTCTTGTCAATCTAGAGAACTCATTAGCACAAATCTGAAGCCAGACGATTCAATCTTCATATCTAGAATTGCACAGCTACTTGTATCTATTCCTGACAAAGCACGACTAGAAGCCCCAGCTGCACTCTCATCACAGTATCCACAATTTCTCTTCTGTGAAAATATTATATAAATCTTATAACACTAACATATGATTAAAAGTTTGAACACTATTTTATTTTTGATTGGCTTCACAAATCATATCTCAGTCACTCTGTTTTGAAAAGTACTTTGGTTGTATTAATTGTTCTCTCCATTCGTATAATGTTTATTCTTCACAACATCATTTTAGCCAGTTCTTCAAGCAGGTTACCAACCAGCTTCTTAATGGAGCAGAAGAAAGTGCTCCAGACCTATGTAATAAAGTAGATGCTTTGGAAGGCGTATTTTTATTTATAGGGGAAACATTTGCTCGCATATGTCGGCGCGGATTTGCAGGTATCTAAAATATGTGAAGCATTCTTGCACCTGAAAATTTAAAACATTGTGATTGGGATATGGCATTAGGTTTTTACTTAATGAAGATATAATACAGACAAAGCATCAGATCATCATCTACCACCTTTTTTTTTGTTAATTTTTTTGGACAGCATTTGGGATGTATAGAATAGTCAAGATTTTCTTCTTTGTATTCTAGTACTTCCTAGTTTAGAAATTTTCTTTTCCTTTTCTTTTATTATGCTCTTGTATTTTACTTTGTGCCTGAAGTCTTCTTGTAGTTGTAAATTTTAAGTCAAATCTCTGCTACGTTCTCTCTGCCAGGGATGTGTGAGAGTGACACCATTCTTCTCTTCTCTCTAAGTTTCAGGGAGACAGGGACATTGTTTTTTCTCTTTCAGTTGTAAAACTTTTGTTGTTGTCCTTCAAAAGGAAAAAAAAAAACAGCTTATCTAGGTAATGCTATTTTATCTTGCAAATATCTAGATCTTCACAGGGTTGTTTGATGTACCGCCATTCTCAAATTGCCTAAGCAATTAACCTGTCAGTGTGTTTGGAGGGATAGTGTGTGCTCCTAGGCATTTTTCTGGTAATTCAGGTGATTCTTAATAGTAGGAGTGCAAGTCGGGTACCTGACTTGAAGAATTTACACGACATTGGACCTGGGCCCATTCAAATTTTTGCAAATGCTCAACCTGTGCCTGCCCAAGTTGTAGCCTTACTTAATAGTTATACTGTATAGGGGTCATTTCTTGGTGTGGTGGTAAATTCTCAGGCTAACAAGCATGAGAATGTGGATTTAAGACTGAGAGTGGCCACTTTGTACTAAAAGTTCTGGAGGCTAGGTCTCTATCCAGTCCACCCCTCTGAAGACCACTGATAGTTAGGACTAGCATTGGGTAATAATGAACGATTACATACTTTTTTTTTGATTGGTTGAAAAAAACAATGAATTATATACAGACACCTTCAACAGAATCCCTTGATATGGGCTGGCTTTTCCCCCAGCCTCATTTTGTTCCTTACATTACATTTGACCCCAGAAAAAGAAATGTTCCCTATTGCCCCTTGTTTAGCCAGTGTGTCAGCCAGATCATTGGCTGATCTAAAAGTCCAACTGAAGGTCACAATTAGTTTCTTAATCAAGCAATGAAATTCTTTAATTTTATTTTAAGTTTGTCTTTAATATGCATTCTCCAGTTTTTCTCTTCTTTTAAACCCTACTTGTTCTGAGCTGTTCTACTTCTTAAACCTTGAAATAACACCTTCAATCATACATTTATAGAAAAGAACAAAGAGGAAGTTACCGATAAGTATTAAACTAAGCCACTAAAAATTAACTCATTAACAGTTGCTACTTAATTTGACTAAGCAGGATGATTTTTAACAGTAACACTAAGATATCTTTTTTATTATTATTATTATTACAGATACTATGTTAGTTGAAATGATCCCTCGGATACTTAGACATGTACGGGGCTTCTCATCAACAAATGTTGATCCTATTTCATCTAAATCACAATTCTGGATGAAGTTGATGGAGGCAATTAGAGATGCATATGCTGTTGAAAGATTGACTGAATGCTTGCTGCATCAGCTAGCCACTGAACATGTGACTGACATTGAAGCTTATTGGATCCTCTGGATGTTGTTCAGTTGGACTTTTAAGCACCAAACATCAGTCAGGTGAGCAAACATGTGTGCTTGTATTCTTTTTAATGCATTTGAGTATGTATTGCCTCCCCCACCCCCTTCAAACTACCGCTTACCAAGAATAAGATAAATTAATAGAGAGGGGAAACAGCATTTGAGCCTTTACCAGTACTACTGGAGAGGCTACCTCAATAAACCTGGAGGTGGTGGCCCTACTTGTAGGCATTAGGGTGCCACTTAAATGTAGGAGGGGTGGTCCTAATAAGGGAGATTCCGTCAAGACCATTATATGGTGCCAGGGGTTTGGGAAAGGGCCATGAAAGCTATCCACATTTGTTTAATAAGATTTGGTGGCTACTATTATGCTCCTATACCTTTTGATGAATTCTTAGGGATAACAATGATATAACTGATCATTTGGCAAGATCCAAGACCAATAGAGAAAGAATGTATATTATTATGTTTAATACAGGTAGATGTATATCTGATTTGCTTGCACAACATTTGGATGGACTGATTGGTATGGATTCTCAGTTTTTTGTCTGGTACCATCTGTCCATCGAGCCTTTGTATTCCTTCATTTTGATAATTTAATCCTTATAACTTTTCAAAGAAAGGATTGTCTTTTGTTACTACTAGTTATTTGATTTCTACAACTGAAAGCAGGTGTTGAATCATGAGTTATGCTTCTTAATTCCAAAATCATACTGCCAAATGGATTAAGGAGAACCCGTAACTTTTCCTTCTAGAATGACTAATGGATAATGATTGTCTTTTGGTATTCTGACCGTTAAGCTTCTTATTTTCCATAAGTTAAGCTCTTACCAACTTGATTACAGGTAAAGTTTTTCTTAGCAGCTTATAAGGTTGATCAGAGTCAAAGGCACTTCTTTGGTAGTTGAATGAAGTGCACATAAGAGTTGGTAGATGGAATATCTTTCAAAGCTTAAAAATGGTGATCTTGGTATGGAAATAAGGAATGGATAAGGCTTCTTTGGAAGTTGATAGTTGCATATTTAGATGTGCAGATATGGGTAGTGGGTAGACATGTGAACAATGACCATTGTAACAGGCATACAGTTCTTAGTTTCCCATGATGAAAGACATGGATGGATATACAAGTGTCTAATCCAATATATTGGTTTGCTGCTTTAACTATTTAATCAAAGTAATTTTTTGGGGGTAAGAAAAGTATATTCTTTTTTTTATATTTAAATCATTCCAAATTTAGTTGAATTTTTGACATTGTATGATTTATCATAAGATACCATTGAAAGAGAAAACTTGGGAGTTTTAGGAATTAAAAAAAATAACTGATTGTATTTGCCAAAAAAAAACTGATTGTGCAGCAAGAAGCTGGAAAATAGTTTTTGCTGCATTGCACGACTTGCTAATAGATTAATTTTTTTTGGATGGATGAGATCATGAGAAGAACAAGTATTGGATAGAAGAGGCACAACAACACCAGACAAAAAAGGAAAAAAATCTCTGGACTAGAACTCTAGAAGAAGAAATAATCATCACAAAGAGACTGCCAAAAGCAAAAAAAAAAAAGAAAAAAAAGAAAAAAGAACTACAGCCTAATGTAACATATACAACTGCTCTATTCCAGAAGATCCGCATCCAGAAGAAGAATTCCTGTTGACCCATATTAGGATCCATCTGATAAGAGTTTTACTCAGGTAGCCAGCTTTGCTAATAAACTATTTTAAAATGCTGCAGACTGCATGGGGCTTCTCCAACTACTTGGATGATCAAGATAGACATGTCTGTCAAATTAATAAATCTTCAATCTTATCCCATTTAAGCTGTTCAGTTTAATATCTATATGCTGGTACCAAATATTTGGGATGAGGTCTTGTTGTTGTTGAGTTAATTTTGACATATACATTTTTGCACCTTCACGACTTTCTGCATATGTTGTCAAATATGGGTCTGTAAAAATTTTTATATTTATTTTTTTTCTGTTTTTTATTTTTATTTTTCTTAGTGATGTAGATGGACTCGATTTCAGGTTTGGTTACCTCATATTTAATAAGAAATGCAAGCATATTCCTTTTCCTTCCCCATTCAATGTCTATTATCACTTTGTCATTGATTTTCCTATATGAAAGGTTTTGACATTTTTTCCTTATTCAGGTCGATGTTTGTTGACAAATTTTTACTCTGGAAAGTTTTTCCTATCTGTTGTTTGAGATGGATTCTCCAGTTTTCTGTGCTTGATTGCCCGCCAAATTCCAGTGAGCTGACAAAAGGCCCAAATTCTCAAAGCCTCTTAGACATGGTGCAGCGTTTGGTTGGAGTATGGTCAAAACGTGAGTTTGTTCAATCAGCTCCAATGGAGCAGCAAACTTGTATCCTTTCCCATTCTTTTCTTCCAATGTGCTGTTTTCTTCAGAGACATATCTAGCATGTAAAATGAATAATATAATTTTTGATTTCTCATGAGATATCGTATTATATCTGACAACAAATGTAATCTCTATTCATCTGTAAAATAGTTTCATGAGCTAATGATATTAATGGTCCAAGGAATAAACTATTTATTTCTTCATATTCACAATCTATGTTTCACTTGTTCTTTTTAGTTAATTTCCAGAAGTCCTACAAAACAAAAGGCAAAAAAAAAAAGGAGGAAAAGTTGAGCCTTTGAAATCACTCAAATTTCTAGAGGAAGATGATATTTGAGACTGCTTTATTTTAATAACATTTCATGCTTTCCAAATTTTGTTGCTCCTTGAGGAAAGGTTCAGATATAACTGCTGCTGTTGGCCTATCCCTGGAACTGCTATCCAGGGAAGAACTTGAAGCAGCCAAGGATGTGATGCACTCAATCCTTCAAGGAGTAAGCTGTAGGGTTCTTTTCTTTCTGTATCTGGTACAGTATTTTACTGCTTGAGCAGTCGTTGTTTTACTCATTATTTTATCCTAACTTCTGGCAGGTAGGCTGGAGAGTCCTATGCATTTAGTAAGGAGAATGGCTAGCTCTGTGGCATTGGTGTTCTCTAAAGTGGTTGACCCAAAAAATCCTCTTTACCTTGATGATAGTTTCAATGGAGAGACTATTGACTGGGAATTTGGGTTTTGTACCCAATCCAAGGGGATTGCAGCCAGTTTGAATGGCAAAAAAGAGATTCATGGTGATGTGAAAATATCTTTTATTACTCGGTCAAACAAGGAAGTAGACAATGCTGACGCCAGAATAAATACCAATACAAAGCAAAAAAATAAGAAGCTATCTGAGTTAAAGATGATTGATCCAGATGAGATTATTGATCCATCAATGCTAAATAATATGACTATATCTGATGAAGAAGAAGAAGATGATGATGATGATGCAAGTGTGAACTCTGAATCCTTAAGTGACTCATCTTTGCAACCATACGATTTGACAGATGATGATACAGACTTAAAAAGAAAATTCTCACAGCTGGTTGATCTAATTGGAGCATTACGGAAACCTGATGACCCAGATGGTGTAAGTTGTTAGTTTCTTGAGTTGTCTACTTTCTCAGAGTGATTTTTCTGTAAATGAGGAAAGACAGCAAAGATGATTTATCAATACAACACGAGTTCATTGTGTTGATGAAATCCATCACTTTATGTCACCAGCATGGGTTTGCTCCAGGTGGAAATTGATCTAATCAAGTGATCTTAACCATCCCATCCATTACTCTGATGGTTGTAAGGGGAAAATCAGATGGGTACGCAATTCAGGGAAGAGAAGATAGAATATTAGGCACAATATAGCGTTTTTTTTTTTTTTTGTTTTTTAAGCATGGTGGTCTTTTTGGTCCAAAGGTCCACCAAATGTAGCCCCTGCTTGGTTATCCTACAATGTGTATCTATATCCATGATGCAATGCACCCTGCCCTTGTCTGCCTATTAAAGAATAGGGATATCTTGGATTTGGACTTGTTAGAAGCCTTTGATGTAAGGGTGACAACTGCAGGATATTTTTGTCTTTATATGCATTTAAGTGTGGGTAATGTGGTTTGTTCTGTTATATAATTTAGGGGGTGGGGGCAGTACTTTTACCATGTGATTAGAAGAGTTTATATATTAGCTGTGTTAGAGTGAGCCGAATAGGGGTAGTTTAGTAATCTCATGTCAGTTAARTACYTKGCTTATRTKGYTRTTTTATTAGAGCACTCTGCCCCACACTTAAGTGTGGGCAGTTTAGTCTTTGTAAGTGTAATTAGAACCTAATAAACATAAGGGGGTCGACTGAATGGGTGGCTAATCAGTTTCGACCAAACCCTCCTGTTCTCTCTTTCTCTTGTCTTCTTCCTCATCWTCTTCTTCTTCCTTCTTCACTGGTTCGGATTACTGTTGCTGTTCCAAAACAAGCTGACTAGGGCTGTAATCAGGTCAGATTGAGATCCGATCTAGCCACATCCAAATCTTATCCAAAATCCAATTAGATCTAGGGATGTTGATCAGATTTTAATCTGAGTCCACTTTATTATCTTTAAAATAAAGAAAAAACTAAAAAAGTTAATTATTTTTAGCTTTTATATACATATATAATAAATTTGTATAAATATGAACTATTAAATTCATTGGTTACGAATTTTATATGATTATTTATTATCTATGCATAATATGCATATAAGGGCCATTGCCCAATGTTGGTCCCAGCTATCTAGGGTCTTGGGAGGGTTAGATTGGATATGGTCCCCAACCTTTTTTTTGGGCACAAAGTGGCTGCTCTCAAACTCAAACCCACATTCTCATGTTTGGCAGCCTGAAATTTTACCATCACTCCAAGTAATGGCCCCTACATAATTATATGTGTGTGTATCATAAAACTAGAAAGGAATCCTAGAGTAGCTGCTGATAAAAAAAAACCTAGAGTAGCTCCAATAGATAATAAAATGATAGAAAGTATACTTAGATGGTTTGGTCACGTGCATAGAAGAGCTCCTACAACACCCATATGAAGAAGCCACCTGTTGCAAGTTGAAGGGGCCAGAAGGGCTAGGGGCAGACCAAGAAGGAAATGGGTTAAAGTAGTAAGAAATGATTTAATCACTCGTAGTTTAATAATGGATATGTCACTAAACAGAACGAAATGGTGAAATAGGATTCATGTAGTTGACCCTATATAGTTGGGACAAAGCTTAGATGATGATGATGAAGAATTGGCCTCAGATCTTAATCGGATCAGATGGGGTTGAGTCCACATCCAATCCAATTACATAAATGGATCATCCAAATCCGAAATAATTGGATTGGGTGTCAGATTAGTTTTGGGATTATGGAGTCCATTGACAGCACTACAGTTTACCACTAGGCGAACTGGCAGAATAGACAGTTTTTCTCCACCCACTAAACTTCTTTTCTGCTCTCATTTCTTCTCATTTCTCTCTGGTTTTCTCTTATCAAGTGATTAATCTGGACTATTATGACATGATTAATTTGAATAGGTAATAAAGGAACCCTTCCTGATTATTTATCTGTTTCTTATTCTATCAGGTGGAAAGAGCACTCGATGTTGCTGAAAATCTTGTAAGAGCATCACCTGATGAACTCCAGCATGTGTCTGGTGATCTTGTGAGAGCTCTTGTGCAGGTCCGTTGCTCTGATTTGACCATCGAAGGGGAGGAAGAATCAGCTGAAATAAAGAGGCAAAGAGCACTAGTTGCATTGCTTGTCACATGCCCATTTGAATCTGTGGATGTCCTCAACAAACTATTATACTCTCCTAATGTGGATGTTAGTCAACGTATCTTGATACTTGATGTGATGACTGATGCAGCTGAGGAGCTTGCAGATGCTAAAATCATCAGATCAGAACGGAATAAGAAGATACTTATATCATCAATGTCAGAGAGCCAGCCATGGTTTTTGCCTGGTAACAGAGGGCCTTCCGGAGCAGGTTCCTGGAAAGAGGTCTCAGACACAGGACCTTTAAGTTGGTCGTATCGCTATGAGAGAGATCTTCCCTTGAAACCAAATCAGATCAAAGTGGGGAAGTCACGAAGGTGGAGCATCCGATCAACAAAGATACAAGAAAACCAACTGGACTTGTCAAAAAATAAATTCCCTGTATATGCAGCAGCATTTATGCTCCCAGCTATGCAGGGATATGACAAGAAGAGGCATGGTGTTGATTTGCTTGGTGGGGATTTTGTTGTGCTTGGGAAACTTATCTATATGCTTGGTGTATGTATGAAGTGTGCAGCAATGCATCCAGAGGCAATGGCTTTGGCTCCTGCCCTACTTGATATGTTAAGCTCAAGGTACTCAGCACTGTGTAGAAAATGTTAAATGTCGGGAAAATATCAATGGCATTGACAATATGAATTTTGTTATATATTGCTCGTGAGTTAGTTGCACCTGTCACTTAACCCATCTCATCTTAAGGCCTAGTATTACTTGTGTGGGAAATGATTGGATGAGATGCATCCATTCGATCCATTTCATTATAGTCATATTTATTCAGTAGTATATAAGGAGATTATAGAGAGGGCAAATACTCCATGGAAATGACAGTTCTGATTATCTGCTTTTTTTTTGGGGGGGGGGTACCTAGGTCACTTTATGCTAAAGATGCCATAGGTTAAGTCCTTATCCAGTCCAGTCCACTCCTCACAACACCCTAGATGGTCAGGAGCATTGGATATTTTTCTTTAGGCAAACTATTGTATGGAATATGGATTACTTAGACAGAAGGTACTACTATATTTATGGGTATGCCATTGGCAACAATCCCTAGGCTCTATGCTATAGGTGCCTTGGATTTTCCTTGATGTATATGCGAGGTTTTATGGTGCTTTCATTTTTCTATTTACTTGATTTATTTTTGTTATAATATTTTCTATCCAGGGAGATCTCACATCATGCAGAAGCCTATGTTAGAAGATCGGTCCTGTTTTCAGCTTCATGTGTATTGGCAGCACTTCATCCTTCTTTTGTAGCATCTGCTTTGGTTGGAGGTAATTCTGAAATTTCCAAGGGGCTTGAGTGGGTACGTAAATGGGCACTGCATGTTGCTGAATCAGATACAGATACTGAATGCTCCACAGTAAGTACTGCCATTATTTGATGGATGATGAGATTCTTCCATGTATTTCCTATTGTTAGTTCATTGTTCTCTTTTAGTGCAAAAAGTGAAGCCGTTTTTTCTTGCATTAATATAAGAGCAAGTGTAATTCTAGTGCAAATGCCTTGGTACTTGGTTGTCAAGGTGTTAAATTGAGGTTGGGTGACACCTTATTTTAGCTTGTTTTCTTCTTTCTTTTCTTTTATTTTTCTCTGTTTCTTTGTAAATTATCTTGTTTCTCTAGTTAGCGTAGCAGCTAGAAAACATTTAGGCATAATCCAACATGAAAGAATCAAAATAGAGCTTAGGGAAAAAAGCTAGGGGATGTAGCCCTATTATGTTAATGCAAGAGGGATGAACAAATGAAGAAATGAGGCCTTTGTAATATAATGAATGTGATAGAGATATACAGGATATAGAATGTGTGTGTGGGTGTGTGGGCATGCACACGCATGGAAAGGAGATCCGAGCTCATATGCATATGCATATTGCCTGTGTGTGTGAATGTGTGTGAGTTAGAAAGACAGGGATAAATGGTTAGGACGGAATGCCCCTGATGAAGAAGAGCATGCTTAACTTTTCTCATGGAAATTGAGAGGGAAGACCCAACAGAATTTATTTTTTTCATCTCACAGTGTTACGTGTTAAACACTTGCATCTGTACCTTTCTGTCACCTAAAATTGTATGCATTCTTAAATGTTATATTGTCACTTGATGTTTCTTTGATCGTCAACTGAATGGTTGGCTACTGTCATCACTAAGCACCAATTTATATTTGTAGATGGCAATGGCATGTCTCCAACTTCATGCTGAGATGGCCCTCCAAGCTTCCCGAGCACTTGAGTCTGCAGACACTGTATACAAGGCAAGAGATGTTGGTCTGCCTTCTAGTTTGATGAAGGGAGCAATCAGGATTCCCCACTCAAACATGGAATTTCGAATTTGAATGATAACCCTGGTAGTTGGTATATTCATCCTTGGCCTTGCCATGTATAATTTTCGATCTTACTCTCACCGTTGGTGACCTTTTTGTTACCATTGTTTTTATTCTTACATCGTGGGCTAACGAGTCACATGTGATTGCAGTTGTATAGAGAAGAGAAAAACACACAATGGTAAAGAAAATTTTATTTGTAATACAAGGTTATTTCAATTGAGAAATCGCAGTTATATATATCTACATAACCCAGTTACCCTGGAAAGGGTTCTTTCTTCCCGCTCTGTATCTGCTAGTTAGTAGTTACCTACATAATGCAACGTCCCCTTCGAGCAATTGAGCATGTAACTGATTTCATATACTTTGGACAAGGGATGATAATGGGTCTCAGAGGCTTTGGTTTTTGAAATCTTCCATACTTGAGAGTTTGAGATAATGAGTCTCAGTTCGGTAAATCTGTTACCAAAGAAAAGCTTGTGTTGAAAATTGAAATTGATCATCACATCAAACAAACTGTGGTCTGTGGGAGATCAGAGATGGAGTGGCTGTGTCACTGTGGTCCTCACGAAAACTGGAATTTGTGATGGAGAGATTCTCTGCTTCTGTGGCGGTGGATGGATCCGAATTCGGATTAGCTGCTCTTGGCTATTTTCCGCCGTTCTCCCCCGTTAAGCTTTCCATCCACAATCTCGGTCGAGATACCAATCTCCATAAGACTGTAACTTCGCCTTGCGGCTCACATACCTTTGGAAATTGGAAGTGGATGGCCGGCCGATATGCGCGCGCTTACCATTACATTGTCCTCTTTTGGGATCTGATGTGCTTAATGGATTCGAATCTTACGGTCGAAACCAAAGAGAAATGGGGTCCATGAAAGATCAGCGTGTGAGTGTCACAAAGTGACACGTGGAACCAAGAGGTTTTACTTACCTTCTCACCGGTCGGACTCGGTCACCCGACCCAAAAGGTTCACCAATACCTCGGCTCGGCTGACTCCTCCCATCTTTAAAAACGCTCGTGTTGTGAACTGGAGAAGCTTTGCGGCTTCACAGTCGTTCATTCATGGCTTCGTCGTCTCTCTGCAACTTCTTTTCTCTCTTATTATTACCATCACAACCACCATCCAACAAAAAAGCGCCAACCTATTTGGTCTCTTTTCCTTGTTCTTCCGCGTCTGTTTCTTTTCCGTCATTATCTTCTTCTGTACCGCTCGAGAGTCATAGAAGTAGATATGGTTCTATTCCAGTAATGGCGGGCGATGGTTCGTCTTATTCTAACGACATCTTGTCTGTAACATGCCCTTCTTTTGCATACGCCAATACCTTCTTCTTTAAATCAGCATACAACGTTCAGGTTGTTGTGACGGATGATAACGAACCTGAAGAATCGTTGCTTAGGAGGTTTCGGAGAGAGGTTATGAAGGCGGGAGTTATCCAGGAGTGCAAAAGGAGGAGATTCTTCGAGAACATCCAGGACAAGAAGAAAAGGAAGACCAGAGAGGCTGCTAAGAGGAATCGAAGAAGGTTAGGGTTACGATCATTTCCTCTTCCTCCTATTCTTCTATAGGGTCATTTATTTTCTTCTTCTGTCTGCTTGTTATACTTTTCTATTGTCTGCTAATATACTACTATTTACTGGTTATCTTTCCCTGCAAAATCGTTATTTTCCCAAATTGATTTATTTTTTCTATTATTCGAATTTTGGAGAAATTCTCTCTTTCCGAACTACGGCTATGGTTTGGGTGCGAACTCAGTATTCGGCCATTTGTTTCACTGATATTTGGGTTCTGGTTTGTGGTTCATTTTTAAAGCCCATTGCTTTCATATTTTGTTTAGTCTCCAAACTGCTAGATAAAAGCTTTGGAGAACTCCTAATAGCCGCAATCGTCATTCTTTTCTTCTTCTTATTATTTTTTTTGTGTATATTATTCCTCAGAATGCCTCTCCGTGTTGAATTCTAATTTCTACTCATTACCCAAACCTCTAATACTGTTCAATGTTCAACTGGAGGGGGGGGGGTGGCAAATTGACAATTGCCTCAAGTAGGTAGTTTTTCAAATTAGTAGAGGGGGTTTTGATATGCTTGTTTTGATCATATAGGCAAAGGCAGAGCTTTTCTCTAATGATTATTTTATATTTATCCTCATTATTGCATTTTCTATCAGGCGACCCTCGTCAAGAACTCCACCACCGGACAAACAGGAATCGTCAAATAACAAGGTCCGTGAAGAAGAAGAAGATAATTGGGAACTTCCTGAAGGAGAATTACCGTATTGACCACCATTTTCACCATTGTTTTTTTTTCCTCATCTGTTTAAAATGCGGGGGCATTGATTTGATTCTTGTGGAGTTAGGATGACATTTCAGACTGGATAACAGCAAAATGCTTGATTTAAGTTTATGCCTTTTAAATTGTGTAAAATTCTCTAGGATCGTGCATAAACAGAAGTTGCAAATGGGGTTGTCTGAAACAATTAGTAATACTGCCAGGAATGCTCATTGTTTTGAAAGCTTCCAAGAAATGATGTTGCATGCAATGTTTCAGGCATCCAGAGTCCAGATTGATAAGAGTATTTGTGTCGGTAACTTATCCATACTTCATTTGCTGCAGTAAACTTTTGAGACACCAGATGCCAAGGTTTGGCATGGTCATTCTATTCAAGTTGTTTCTCCTGCAGCCATTTGTGCATTTGACAAATTGGTTTTGTCAGATTAGAGTTGGATACGGGATTGGTGGCAAAAGGAGTATAAGAAAATGTATAGCTTGATCAAATGTTATGTGAATTTTGACCAGTTTTAAGTTATATACAACCATATATTGGGAAGAGAAGTCTTAGGTATTTTGATCATGCTATAAAATTGCATATTGGTTTATTTTACGCTTTGAATCCTAGGTGCTAGCTGAAAGATGATCTGATCTCCAGTTACACGGCAAGTTGGATCAATCTGCAGAATAGTAGATCAGAGAATCCGGGGTAGTTAACCCGACGAGGTTGCTCCGATGCTTAAGTCAATATTTATACTGTGAATGCGAGCTGAATACTTGAGTGTTTGAATGCTAGTGAGTAAAATAATCACGCGTACCTTTGCCTTAAGGTTTTATGTTCTTATATAATGGAGTAGTCATGAGCCTTATGAAAGAGCTCCGGTATCTTCGGGTTGTGCATATAAGGTTTGTTCTGTTTTTGAAAGAGAACAATATGTTGATAAGGTTTATCGTTTATCTCCGATTCAGGCGGAGTTAGGACGAGTCTCATTGTGATCCCGAGAAATTCGGGGTCCGTTGGAGAGGCTTTTGGAGTCGATTATGTGGTGTTTCAGCTCTTTAGCTCCGAACTGTCACTTCGATTATTTAGTCCCGAATTGGAATGGGTATCGAGGTGTCTCTACACTTCGGTGGTTTTTTTAGGCCGAGGTGGTTGGATACTTGATCTTCGAATGTTGCGAAATGGGTTCGTTTGGCTGAGTTGTCACTTCTCGAGCAGATCGCGTCTACGTGTCCCCTTCTTACTGGGTCATGCCAAATCACCCATCATCAATTGTCCCCCACTCCTCGTGCCAGGGGTCCTAACCCGGTGCGGGGAGTTTATGACGAGTCTAGGTGGATTTGGCACGAAGTCTAGACGATTTGGAGGGCGAACCGTTGGTCGGGCCTATTCAACCATCCGACTCAACCATGAAATGACCTAGGTCGCGTCTTGGGCATGTGCGAACGTCACACTGTTTATATACTCCGCGGACGTCAAAGGGCACGCTCAATCGATTTCGTCCTCGGGTAGCGTGCAATCGGTTTTCATGGGAGCCGTCGGATCGTACAGGTCTCAATCGTTGATTGTCGAATGTGGTGGATTATAAATAAAGGGCCAAATCGCCCCATTACCTTCGCCATAAATCGTGTAACTGAGCTCTCTTGAAATCGCATCGGAGTCCTTCAGCTCGTCATTCTTTTCTTTATGTCTGAGGTTGTTATCGTCTTTTTGGTGAGTTCGTCTTCTTTCCTTAGTTGTTACCTTTTCTTTTCCTGTCCAATATGTCTAGTGCTAGCATAAATAGGTTGCTTAGCGATTATATTGAGCCCGAGGGTGCCGAGGTGTGGTCTTCGGCTCCCGCTGGTGGGGCCAACTCTTCGCTAGAGAGCTCCTCTTTACACCTTTTAAGAGAAATGCCTTTACTTGATGTCGGGCCATCTCGGCTTGAGGAACCCAAACCTCAGGTAGAACGACCGACCTCCGGAGAGGGGGTCCCATCTTCTTCTCGAGGTCGGGATCCGAACAACTTCAGCCCTTCCACGATGACCTTGGACAGATTGTTGTCCTTGATAGCCCGTTACTATCTCCCTGACACTCTTGTCTTCAATATTCCTTTGGGTCAATACCCTTGGGTTGACGGTCATCACGAGTTCGAGGTTTTTGAGGAGCAGCTCGTAGCTGGGTTGCGCTTCCCGCTCCACCATTTCATCGTAGAAATCATTAAGTTCTTTAACATCACTATTGACACGGGAGCGACCTCTTCTGCTCCCTCGAGAATGCTGGGCTGAGGTAAGTCCTCTATGTACACAATTCGCATAGTGGTGCTGCTCGTGCTAGCTAGTCGTGCCAAGGCGTTGACCTCAGCATTCTTAGACCTCGGAATTTGTCTGATAAAGCAGGAGACGAAGCTGTGCAGGATCTCTTTGACTTTGGCAAGTAAACGGCCATAGTGGGGTCACGAGCTTCGTACTCACCAGTGACTTGGTTGACCACTAGTTGTGAGTCGCTACATACGATGAGGGGCTTCGCTTTCATTTCCCTTGCTAAGGTTAGCCCGGTGATCAATGCTTCATATTCTGTCTCGTTGTTTGACGCCTCGAATCCGAACCGGAGAGCATACTCCATATTCACCTCGCTTGGGCCGTACAATATCAGTCCTACACCACTCCCCTACTGGTTGGACGAGCCGTCGACATGGAGGATCCAGGGCTCCGTCCCAGGTTGGTTTCGTTCTGACCGGGGCTGGCGCCGCACTGGTTAATGCTCTCGTCGTGTGGGCGAGCTCGGTCAACTCGGGGGTCGTTACGTCAAATGTGCACTCTGCTACAAAATCCGCCAACACTTGAGCTTTGACTGCTGGTCGAGGCTCATACCGGATATCGTATTCGCTTAGCTCGATGGACCACTTCGTTAATTTTCCAGACACATCGGGATTGAGCAGAATCTGCCTCAAGGGTTTGTTGGTGAGAACAATGATAGTATGGGCCTGGAAGTACAGGCGAAGTTTTCGGGCTGCTATGATCAGTGCGTACGCTAGTTTCTCGGTCTCTTGATATCTAGTTTCTACATCTTGCAAAACTTTGCTAACATAGTAGATGGGTCGTTGAACCTGATCTACTTCTTTGATCAGTATCGAACTAACTACTTCATCTCTCATAGAGAGGTATAGTTTTAACACGTCCCCTTCTTCGGGTTGAGTTAAAACTGGGGCGGTACCTAAGTATTTTTTCAGCTCGTCAAAAGCGAGCTAGCATTCTTCAGTCCACTCGAAATCCTTGCTTTTTTTTTATAGCTCTAAAAAAGGGTAGGCACCAGTCTGCCGATTTAGACATGAAGCGACTTAGGGTGGCTATTCGACCAGTCAGCCTCTGGACCTCTTTTATTTTTCGGGGTGGTCTCAAATCTAGAATCGCTTTTATTTTGTCTGGGTTGGCCTTGATGCCGCGTCGGTTGACTATATAGCCTAGAAATTTACCCGAAGTGACTCCGAAGACGCATTTATTCGGATTTAACTTCATGTTATATCTTTTTAAAATTTGAAAAACATTTTTTAAATCATCCAACAAAGAATTTGAAAACTGGGTTTTTACGACCATGTCATCAACATAACATTCTACTTTATTACCGATTAACGACTCAAAAATCTTATTTACAAGGCGCTGAAATGTTGCCCCAGCATTTTTTAATCCGAAGGGCATGACCTTGTAACAATATAATCCGAGCTCAGTTATGAAAGCAGTCTTGTCTTCGTCAGCGGGATCCATCCTAATCTAGTTGTAACCGGAATAGGCATCTTGGAAACTCAGCAACTCATGCCCTGAGGTCGCGTCCATTAGGCGGCCGATCTTGGGTAGCGGGAAGCAGTCTTTCACACAGGCTCTGTTCAGGTCGGTGTGGTCGACGCACATGCGCCATTTGCCATTGGCTTTCTTCACTAGAACCGGGTTAGTCACCCAGTTCGGGTAATGGACTTCCCTGATGAATTCTGTTGCGAGGAGCTTCCCAACCTCTTCATCGACTACCTTCCAACGTTCTGGGGCGAGGTTGCGTTTCTTCTACCTTACTGGTTTGACTAAAGGGTCGGTATTAAGTTTGTGAGTTATAATTTTTGGATCAATCCCGGGCATCTTTGCCGCGGACCAAGCAAAAATATCTAAATTTTCAAGTAAGAAACTTACTAGCTAGGTTCAAAGCGGTTCACTAATCGAGGCACCGATCTGAGGAGTTTTGGCTGGTTCGACGACAGAGACTGGTATGTGGATCGTCTCTTCTTTCGGGGCAGCTCGTTCGTCGGTATACTCCACTGGTCACTCGAGCTCGATATCCTTTGTCAGTTTTGCTTTTCCTTTCAAGGCAGCCACGTAGCACTTGCGGGATTCGAGCTGGTCACCTCGCACGACTCCCACTCCGTAATCAGTTGGGAATTTCATCGCTAAGTAGTAAGTGGATACTATCGCACGTAAAACATGTGTGATAGACCGACCTACTATTGCGTTGTAGGGGGAGGGAGTCGTGACTACCAAGAACGTGTGCTCGAATCACACAATGTTTGGCCACGTATCAGCTTCCACGGGTACTGTGATTCGACCAAGAGGTCTGACCTCCTCGCTGCTGAACCCTATCAAAGGCGTATCTACCGGTTTCAGGTCGCTCTACTGTAATTGTAATTTGTTGAAGGTCTCATTAAAGAGTATGTCTGCTGAGCTGCCTGGGTCCACCAAGATGTGTTTTACCTCGAAGTCGTTAATCCTTAGCTTCACCACTAAAGCATCATCGTGAGGGTACTGGATCCCGCGTGCATCGTCCTTAGTGAAGTAGATCGTTCTTCAAGCCGAGGTCGCTTTGGCAGGTTTTCAACTTCGTTTTCCAATTTGCGGATCGAGGTCCTCCCAGTTGTCGATGTACATCCGGCGATGATGGACCCGTCGGTGATCATGTTAATCACTCTGTGAATTGGTTTTTCCTCCGGTAACTGTCGCGGTGGTTGCTCATTCTGCCTGCTGACCTCGGGACCATTCCTCCTTTGGTCCCCTTGTCGATCTGCCTGTCGGTCTGCTTGCCCCCTTTCTCTTCGCAATATGTAATTCTTCAAGTACCCGCGGTGGATAAGTTCCTCGATCTCGTCGCGGAGATTCTTGCAATTCTCCGTGTTGTGTCCATGATCTTGGTGGAGATGGTAGTAGACATTCGGGTTTCTTGTTACTGGGTCTCCCCTTAACCTGGGAGGCCATTTGACGAAGGAGGAATCCTTAATAGACATTAAGATCTCTCCTTGCTTAGCACTCAAAGGCGTATAGCTTGTTCTCTCCACAGGTGGGGTCCTGGAGCGCCGACCTAGCTTGTGGGTGCGTGAGGGGGACCGACTTCTTGACTTGCTTCTCCCCCTGCTTGGGGACTTGCTTTTCTTTCTTTTTTGCCCACCATTGCTCGTTCATTCATTCTCTCTCTTCCTCTTTTCCGGCGGTGGATTGCCAATCTTTTGGTTGATCTCCTTCTCGGTACCGATGAACTGATCTACCAACCCAAGGAATTCGGTGATATCTTTCGGTTTGTTAGCTACCACGTGCCACTTGAAATCTTTGTGGGTGATTCATTTCTTTGTCGCAGTGAGTCGCACCACTGGATCGAGGTCCGGTATCTGCAAGCAAGTATCGTTGAAGCGCTTTATATAACTTCTGATTGATTCTCCTTCCCTCTGAACTACGTCCAAAAGGCTTTCTTGCGACTTTGGGCACTTGTTGGTAATGAAATGCGCAGTAAACAGGTCGACAAATTGGGACCAGCTTTTGATGGAGCCTGACGCGAGGTTCCGATACCAAGTTCGGACTACCCCCCTAAACATAGTGGAGAAGGCCACACACATGCAGGACTCATCAGCCCCAGCTAGGTGCATCTGAGACATGAAGGAATCCACATGATCGTTGGGGTCAAATGACCCGTCATACTTGTCCAACGGGGGTACCTTGAAATCTTTCGGCATCGGAGTTGCCAAAAGCTCGGGAGATAGAGGAGATGACCGACAAAGTAATGAAGGCACAGTCTTCGTAGCCACCAAGCTCACTTCTTCCTTTTCTTTGGCTTGCTCTGCTTGTTGGCCTGGCTTTGTCGACGGATTGTTTCTGGCCGAGGAGTGGCGTGTCTTGTACGTCGCTGCTGCTGCTTCTTCACTGGCTTGGCATTGGTATTGCTGATTTCGGTATGGTATGGAATTTCGGCATCACTACAGACATTGTTGCGAGGTAGATCCTGGTTCCTTCTTGCTAGGTTCTCTTGGTTGTGGGGTTCGCACCGTCTATCGCAAGGGACGGAGGGGTCCTGCCTCGAGTTCGCACCTCGAACTCCGAGCTGGTTATTATCTCCTCGTGAGCCGTCATTTTCCTGCTGGAAGTGCCGAGGTGGATTGGCCCTGTTGAACTGACTATCCCTGGGCCTGTTTCTAAAATTTCCTTACGAGGCTGGAGGAGTGTGCTAACCGTCTCTCCTCCCACGGGGCGAAACCTGACCCTTGGAGGAATAGGTACTTGTGAGGTTTTCTCACCCCGATTGGGGGATCGATTGACGTTCTGGATGGTCCTAGGCCGATTGGGGTTCTGGACCAGACATAACTCTGGGTGCCCGGATGGAATTGGCTGCTGGTTTGGCTACAGTGGTGGGAACTGTTGCTGATACTGTTGGAATTGTTGGACCTGCTGCATCTGGATCTGTATTGCCCAGACGCACTGAACAATGTCATGGAATTGGGAGTGCCCGATTCCAGGAGGGATCATAGATGGCTCGGAGAAAGTCGCGCCCAGTGGGGGAAGCAGAATGCTTACTTGCATAGTGCTATGTGGTACGGACAATGACGGGACTCTTGATACTATAAGAGGAATAGTAAACTAGCCAATGCATACCGTAGGACCTTGGGGGAAGGTTGATTGTTGATCTTGCCCCCGATGACGTTCATCTCGGTACTTTTTCTGGTGTTGCTGGAAGAGTCCATTGGGGCAAATTGAAAAATAAAATTGTAACTAAAGTTGAGATGACCTTTTGATCGTTTCCCACAGACGGTGCCAATTGATGGTGCGTGATCTAAATACTCTTAGCTGGAAGACGATCCGATCTCCAGTTGCGCGGTGAGCTGGACCAATCTGTAGAACAGTAGATTAGAGAACCCAGGGTAACTAACTCGACGAGGTCGCTCCGATGCTTAAGTCAATACTTATACTGTGAATGCGAGCTGAATACTTGAGTGCTTGAATGCTAGTGAGTAAAATAATCACGCTTACCTTTGCCTTGAGGTTTCATGTCCTTATATAATGGAATAGTCATGGGCATTACAAAAGAGCTCCGGGATCTTTGGGCCGTGCAGATAAGGTTTGTTCCGTTTTTGAAGGAGAGCAATATGTTGATAAGGTTTATTGTTTACCTCCGATTCAGGCGGAACTAGGACAAGTCTCATCGTGATCCCGAGAAATTCGGGGTCCGTTGGGGAGGCCTTTGGAGTCGTTTATGTGGCGTTTTGGCTCTTTAGCTCCGAGCTGGCACTTCGATTCTTTAGTCCCGAACTGGAATAAGTATCGAAGTGTCTCTATGCCGAGATGGTTTTTTAGGCCGAGATGATTGGATACTCAAGCTCCGAATGTTGCAAAATGGATTCGTTTAGCTGAATTGTCACCCTCGAGCAGATCACGTCTACATGTCCCCTTCTTATTAGGTCGTGCCAAATCACCCTTCATCACTAGTACCGAATGTTATGCCTAAAAATTGGATCCTATTTATATACAATTACATCATTATTCATGGAATTAGAATTGGATCAAGAAATCCTTCAATAATTTTGAATAACCCTCTTTTATTTTGAATAATAAAAAGGGATAGATTATAGACATCATTTCTTGCTTGCAAGAGAGAAAAAATGAAGCTACCTTAATTACGATATACAAGGGGAAATAGGAAGTCATTTGCTCATCCCATCCAAAGCAGCAATGTCAAACGGGCAAAATGTGACGTTTCAGATGCAAAATGAATATGAGCATGCAGTCAGTGTCGGGACACAAATAAAAGAAACCGGGCCATAAGACGCGGGTCAGTGTAATTCCCCATTAACATCATCTGTAAGGGGCCTGAAAATGCAGTCTTTCTAGCTTTAACTAGATTGCAATGAATGAATGTCCCTGAAAATAGCCTACCTTATCCCCTCTGAAGGTGGACACAAAGTCTAAGAGTCAAATTGATTGCAACATATCCTATAGAACAGACCTGTAATTGTCAATCTGCCTATTCGAGAAAATTTGGGAGTGAAAATGTGCCGAGTGTAAATTCTGGTTGACTTTTGCTTCAAATTTGTATTATGTCGTCTTTATTTGAAAGAGAATAGAGGTAAGAGAAGGTTACTTGTTTGGGAGTGAGGTAGGAAGCAAACGTGATGCAGTCTCCACTTTGTAAGAACTGAGTAGCTGAGCTGGGGAAGGTGGTGCAAATTTTGCATCAGTTTTTGAAATGCAAAATTTGCACTGCTAGAGACGAAAGATACAATTTTTGTATCAGATAAAAGTGCAAATCATAATTACGAACAAATGGAAGCAAAACGGAACCAAGTGCAAAATTTGTATTTGCTTCAGATTTGCACTGCAAACAAACAAAAGTTTATATGCTTTTAAGATGCTGAAAGGTCTACTGCTTGCTAGAAACTAGAGGTGGCGATTTCTGATCCAATCTATCTAATTGGCTGGATGACCCATCTAACCCATCAACTTGTAACTCTTAGGTTCTTTCGTATGACTTCATTTTTTACGTACCCTTATCCTTCCTGGTTAAATGGATGAGTAGTAACTAGGAAGGATAAGGGTAAAAAATGAAGCCATACGAAGGAACCTAAGAGTTACTCCAATTGGTGATAAAATGAGAAAGTAGACTGAATGATTTGGTCACATCCACAGAAGGCCATTTACAGCAACTATTAGAAGAAGTGATCTATTACAAAGTTGATCGGGGCTAGAAGAGATAGAGGCAAACTGAAAAAGACTTGTTGGGAAGTAGTAAGAAATGATCTAAGTGCTCGTAATTTGACAATGGATGTGGCACTAAACATAACAGAATGGCAAAGAGGTCTGTGTAGTCGGCCCATATAGTTGGAGCAAGGTTTAGATGATGATGAATGATTTGAGAGAGGTACTTTGTGTACTAAATGCTTTTTTTGGGTGCAAGTACTAGATGAAGTTATGTGTATCATTCTCAATTTTTATTCTCTCTACTCTTTCTTCTCTTTCCTGTCTCCTATCACTTCTATCCATTCTCCCTCTTTCTTATCCCTCTCATCTATTCTCTATTTTCTAATTTCTCTTTCCTCTCTCCCTCCCTACTCTCTCCTTTAGACTCAGTTTGGTTTGATAAAAAACAAAAGAGAGAGAAAATGAAGAGAAAGTTCTCAAGAAATTTCATGAAAATCCTTGTGGACTTTCCTTCAACATTTTGTTTCTCTATTATTTCCTATCAAACCAAACACATCCTTAGGTTCTTTCTCCTTGGTTATGTGACTTCTCTATCCTCTCTCTCCTAACTGTTTTTTAAAGAAATCAAATTTTTGTGTTTGGGTTGAACCAATTATATAGGGACATGTGTTACTATAGGAGAAATCCATTTTTTTCTCAATAAGGAGTGGATTACATAGTTTAAAATATTCAAACGGGTCAAGATGGGTGAGTTGCAACCCATGTACATCTTAGAAATGTGGATTATCATTATCAATGGGTGTGGGTGGTCGATGGATGTGTTGGTCTTCAACCCACATCCAACCGAACCAATCCATTTGCCATCTGACTGAACACTTTTTCTCAGTGACTTCTTCCCTTCTCCATCTGACTGAACATGGCCATGGGCCATGCCTTTGCTTCTTCTATGCATGATGCATTTATCACCCAAAGAAGCCAGGCACCTAATTCTGCAGGACCACTGGTTCTGATGGGTTCTAAAGATGTAGTGTAAAAAAGTAAATAGAATACATGAAAATGGGGGATCATACTCAAAAGAGCTTAAAAAACCCCAAGAGGACTGGCCTGAGCAAAATGGGGCGATATGGGCACTGCACAGAACTTTCATCCAACAAAAAAAAAAAAAAGAAAGAAAGAAAGAAATGCCAAAAAAGCAAAATTGTTTTCCAAAAATGCTTCCTCAATTTAGGGAAATACCTTTTGGATATGCTGTATTTTCATTTGGATGGCCAATGCATCCAAAGAGCCCTATGTTTATACCATCATCTGACAATTTACACATCAATCATGTATATCCTTGGATTACTGTACCTGAAATTCACATAAATTTCTGAAAGACTGGAACTAACAAAGATGGACATGTTAGCCGGTGACCGAGGATATGCAATCTGCATGCCCCCTTGTGTGACTACAGTAAAGGTTTCAGCAACCAAATACACAAAGTTCACGAACAGAATGATAGGACTTTCTTGCAGAACCTTTCAAAGCCTTGATAATTAAACCAGTTTTGCTTCATCTGTAGCAGAAAAAAGATTATTCAATATCTAATGCAACATAAATTTGTTTTACGAAAACTGGCAGGCAACACTAAGATTCCTGTAACTTACAAAGTAAGGGTAGCCCTCAAAAATGCTAAAATTTTCAGGAGCACATTCTACAAATAGATTTATAAAATAAAGAACAAAGATTCCACAATCCTCGTCATTCCTCTGCTGTGGAACCTGCGAATAATTTGTTATATCCACATTGACAAAAACACAGGAATATGGATCACAAAAGTCAAATAGGAGAAACATCTTCACCTTAGGCACCAGAAGAGGAATCTTTGAAATCAACTCTTCTTTCTCTGGCCTGCCCTCTGATCTGTAAATGTCCAACAAGAACCTGGAATGGCCAATACACAGAACTGGTTATTTGACCCAAATATATAAGGGCAAGAATGCATGTAATAAATACATACTTCCTTATATCGGGTTCAAGACGCTTGGGGTCTGTCATTTCAAGTGAATCCAGAAGCAGCATACATGGTGTTCTGGTTTTTGATTGTAGATTTTCTCCAAGGTTACACAGGATCAAAAGACTCCAATGATGCCTTACAAAACCACATTTCAACTTATCAATGAAATTGCAGAGGAGCAATATGAGAGCAACTTACATGAAATTGTATGGGAACTGGAAAAACGAACCAGCAAACAATGGGAACAAAAACATATTTCCACGAAAAAATGTTCTTTTTCTTAATCCACATCAACACCTTTGTTTTGGTGGTTCCTCTATACAAAGCAAACCACAAGGAGTCAAGATATGTGAAGGAAGTCTTCTTATCTTCTGATAAGTTCCTCCATAAACTCCTACACAAGGCAAACCAATGTCATTAGAGAGGTAGGGAAAACGCAGGAGATTCATTCAGCCTACTGCATTTGTGGGACTTAGAACTAACTCCAAGTAACGCTCAAACATGTCGGTGTCTAGCTTCCTCTTTTGCTTTGGGATTGTGGTCTTATCGCTAGTGACTCTCTTCGACCGCTCACGGTGAGGGAAATCATCCCAAAAACATGGGGAGGTAAATTCGAATCTCCTAATATCTTCGGCTTCTTGTCTGGTTATTCTCCTTGGAAGTGCATGCACACTGGCTGCAAGATGGACCCAGCATGAACGATGCTTTGAGTATTGCCGCCAAACCTCTGTTAAAATTAAAAAGAAAAATAAATAACATCGGATTTTTCGTCGGGCATTGGCTAATAAAGATTCAAACTCCGTCAGATTTTTTCAATCTATCAAACTTACATAATCTTCAAACACTGTTTGCCTAAATCATAATAAACCTTGTTTTCTTTTTAATGCAAGCAATGCTTTTCATGTTAAAATGTTTTATACTTGGTTTGAACTTTACACAAACACATAATACACCTCTCCCTACCCCCACCAAAAACTAACATCATATGCTCATGTATCATGAAGAACTAGTTGCTGAAGCCATTTCCAGAAAACCCTAATTTATGGTCTAATTTTTTTAGAACAGAACATGCAAAAATTAGTAGCTTCTCTTACAGTAAGCAGTGAGAACGAAACCATAACCCTAGTAGATAAACAAAACACAAGACTCCAGTCATCCAGTGATCCAACAACTAAGGGCAAAGATAGGTAACTTGCCTGAGTCGGGAGAGTCGTGATCTGAGGCGAAAACATCTTGAATCTTTCTCGTTCCCATGGAGGGATGGCTAACGGAAATCGCAGTGGAGAGAGTAGCAGTACAGAGTAGCCATTAAAACTCTGGTTTATCCTTTTTTTTGTGTGTGTATTTTCGGGTTTGCCGGGAGTCAGAAGCAAATATTTGAAAATAGGTTATATTAAATTAACCAGAGAGTCCACAAGCATCTGATCATGTTGATCGACGACGCAGGTCCTCTCTTAGGTGGATCCTAAGGCCTGTTCACTTTTCGTTAAATTATTTATCCACATAAATGCAAATATCGGAGTAAGTTTTTCCTGAACAAGATAGTACATTTATCCATGTATTTTTTTATTTATAGGTAAATAAAGTAATGGTCATTTTAATCATAGAAATTCATTATTAAAATAGATATTTTTGTTTCATTCATTTATCAATAATTTTCTCTTACGTGAAAAAGTTATTTAATCATATAGGATATAAGTATTACTTTTATAAGTAAAGCTAAAAAAGAAATATAGAATTCTTGGTCAAGAAAAACTAAAATTTCATTAATCAACTTTTCCCTTCTTAAAAAACACCCCCTGAGTGAATAAAAAAAACACGAATAGGAATGTCCTGAGAGGATCTTCTCCTTACACAGGGCACCTCACTCGTGCCTCACATGTACATCGTACCCTGCATTGGGTACGATGTACGGTGGATGTGAGGCACGGTGGATGTGCATGTGAGGCGCTCCAGTGTATGGAGCAGATCCCATCCAGATGTCCTACCAATAAGATTCTCTTCCAATACATTCGAACATTACACGCCCGGTGGGTCCCACACATGATGTGTGGACACTGATTATGTTGGAAGTGTTGGGACGATTTTTGTTATGAGAAGATCCCAACTCCTCAATCAGTGATCGTGTACTCGTGTCTCATGTGTCCCTAGAATCAAGCAATCGATCCGAACGTTAAAACCGTCAGATTAGAATCTTGCACGTTAGCAGCGCTCCAATAAGGTACTCCCCTGGTAGTTCTTATAATAGAGATCAGATCGGCGCCCCACATCACCTCCCACCCGTGTATTCGGAACATCTTCCATGATTAGTACGGGAGGTGATCCCAATGCAAGGCGAGATGTGCATGTGAGACGCCTTCTGTGGGGCGCCAACGTGATCTCCTTGCTTGTGAAGAAAAGAAAGAAGAGAACCTCTCTGGTTCTCACTTGCTTGTGAAGAAAAGCACTGAAAGGGAGAATCGAGAGAGAGAAGAGATCCCCGAAGAAACCATGGAAGCGCAGGAGGGAACTCAGCAACCACACCTCGTGCTTGCCCACAAACTATTCCTTCTGACTCATCCAGACGTTGAGGACATCGAGAAAGTCCGCCTTAGAGAAGAAGTCTTCTCTGCTGTTAAAGCCGACTGTAGATCCCCTCTTCTCCTTCCTTCCTGATCTCCGTTTCTGCTCTTCTGGTTTATTCGTTCCTTTTCATGGAACTGACGAACTGACCCTTTTGTTTCCATCTGCAGATATGGCTCCGCTATACGAAACCCTAGCTGCTAATTCGATTTTGGAGATGGATCAGGCTGTTTTGGAATCCATGCGTGCCAAGATTGACGAAGAGCTCAAGAAGTTTGACGAAAAGTGAGTTTCTTTTCTTTTCTCTTTATTTTTGTTCTTGTTTTCCTGCATCTCTCCCTGGCTAAAGTGGAAGACAAAAATTATGTTAAATGTGCATATACAGGAATAAATTTCATATTCGAAACGTAGTTTCTGTGAAGAAGCGTCTTAGGGCCTATTCTAAAATCTATACAATGTTTTTATTATACTTTGCAGGAAATTTGGCTAATGTACTAAAATTTTCTTCATGGGATTTGGATTTTTTTCCCCAAAAGATTGGTTTCGGTTTAGACAGAACTATTTAAATGGGTTCTCTTAAATGTTTTTATAGTGGTTATTTCTGAGGTACAAAGATCATTTCTTTAACCCTAGTTAATACCTATGGTGGATTCGTCCTGCCGTTGCCAATGCATGGTCCTCTTTGCTGTGGCTTAAGGGGTTTTGTTTATGACTTTGAGCTAGATGTATGGGGATGGTTTCCTTGTTGTTGATTTGTTTTGAGGAGTATTATTAATCTTAACTGGATACTGCATCAAGCAGTCTAACTACATACGTTGAAATTTTAATTTCTTCTGTTTTTTTAGTCTGGATGGCAAATACAGCAAAATGAGAGATAAAACTTGAAGCTAAACGTTTGACATGAGCTTTCACTAATTGCCAAGCTGCCAGCAGTGTAAGATAAGCTCAAAACTGGAAGAGTTACCTGATGTAAGCAATAATAGGCAGTAATATTGCAACTAAGAGGCCATCTGTACATACCCGTCTTACTTGCTTAAATTAGAAAAGATAGCTAAGAACATTACACTAGTAGGGCAACACATTACCCCTTGTTGTTGGGAATGTTCTTTGTGCTCTGTGGTAATTAGAAAATTATATTTCTGGGCAAGCTTAATTAATTTGTTGGAGGAATATGAGACGGAAGAAATTGCCCTAAAATCACTGAAAGATGAATAAGTTTCAGTGTGAAGATATTTCTTTCTCTATGGAGACTTGATTGGTTATATGGAAATGGCACATATTGATTCTATTAAATTAGTTCCTGACAGAAATTGATGTGAAAAACATGTAAAGGGGAACTAGGGAAGATATAGCTTAGCAAGAGGAGGGAGAAGATAAGGAGTATGTTAGAGATAGCCTTTTTTTTTGTTTTCTAAAGGAGTCTATCTATTGTCATTTATTGTGAAAATTTTAAAAAGAAGCAGAGAACACATGTTATTATCCTTTGAGAAGTTTTCTTGTTCTTTTTTTTTTATTTGATTTGGGTGAAATAGTTCTTTTTCTTAAAGGTTCCTAGATTTTGTTGGCTTCTATCTTGGTTTTCTATATATTTAGAACAACCTATTCAAGGTCTGGAATGTTTTCTCAAGGCCATGGTTATTGGATTATTATTTATAAATGTCTTCTGGATGCGTTTGAACAGAATTGCCGATGCTGAAGAGAACCTAGGTGAAAGTGAAGTTCGTGAAGCTCACTTGGCTAAATCCTTGTTTTACATTCGAATCAGTGACAAGGTATATGCAGCTTTCTTGTTGTGGCTCAACAACTCTCTTTGTTCCTTAAAAATTCGTGAATTATTTGGCACTTGTGTAGCTTATTCTCTTCTGAATTCCTAGGAAAAAGCATTGGAGCAGTTAAAGCTGACAGAGAGCAAAACAGTAGCAATAGGTCACAAGATGGATATAGTTTTCTATAGTCTACAGATTGGTTTTTTCTATATGGACTTTGATCTCATCTCCAAAAGCATTGATAAAGCCAAGAAGTAAGACGAGTCTTTTACAATTTTAAAATACCTTTAAGACATTACATTTCAGAACTTTTGATTCCTGATATATGATCATGGATGGCAGTTTGTTTGAAGAGGGAGGTGATTGGGAGAGGAAGAATCGTCTTAAAGTATATGAAGGCTTATACTGCATGGCCACTAGAAACTTCAAGAGAGCTGCCAATCTGTTTCTGGATTCCATCTCAACTTTTACAACTTACGAACTTTTTCCTTATGATACATTCATTTTCTATACTGTCCTCACAAGCATCATATCTTTGGACAGAGTTTCATTAAAACAGAAGGTAATACACATAGGCTGGGCTCTTCATACTTGGTGTTATTCCAATGTTGGTTAATGCTGGTGGTTGCTGGTCCCTGTATTCAGGGGTGGAGCCAGGGAGGACCTGGGGGAGCCTTGGTCCCCCTGCATCAACCCCCCCTAATACAGTCCCCCCTTCGCCTCAAAGTACAGTTTGGCCCTCACAAAAAAAGAAAAGAAAAAAAAAGAAGCCCTGGCTCCGCCCTCCCTGTGTTTATGTTGGCAATGGATGTTGATTTTACCTATTTTTAACTCTCACTGATTGCAAAAGATGACCATATATTGCCAGGTGGTGGATGCTCCTGAGATATTAACGGTGATTGGTAAAGTCCCATATCTATCAGAGTTCTTGAACTCTCTCTATGGATGTCAGTACAGGTCCTTCTTTTCAGCATTTGGTAAGTGCATGTTCTATAACCTGCTCTAATTTTCCATTTCTCTATTGTTTTCCTAGAAGCTAAATTTAATTTTTTTTTTTCAAATGAAGATGATCCATAACCCCTTGGCATATTCCACAAGGGTCCTTTATTTCAAAAACTGTTGTCTATTCTTTAAGGGATTTCCCTTTCCTTGGGTGTAATCACACTCCCACACATGTGGGCTGGAGATATTTATACTTTTATAGAGCTTGCTGTTATTTGCAGTATGTCAGAAATTCTTGTGTCGCCTGCCTTATTGACCTTTTTTCCGCCTATTATTTTGCATGTTCATCAGCTGGCTTGACAGAACAGATAAAATTAGATCGTTACCTGCATCCACATTTTCGATATTACATGAGAGAGGTCCGTACTGTTGTCTATTCTCAGTTTTTGGAATCATATAAGAGTGTCACCATGGAGGCAATGGCAACAGCCTTTGGTGTAACCGTGGACTTTATTGATCTGTAAGTCTTTCATCATCATAGTCTTATCTTTGTTAAGGAGTTGGCTTCTTTTTATCCAGTTCTGGTTCAGATGTTCATAGACACTATACAAAATTTCTTTTGTGCTTTCCAGGGAGTTGTCCCGTTTTATTGCAGCAGGGAAACTTCATTGCAAGATTGACAAGGTCGCTGGGGTGCTTGAAACCAATAGGCCGGATGCAAAGAATGCTTTATATCAAGCAACCATTAAGCAAGGGGACTTCCTACTCAATAGGATCCAAAAACTGTCTCGAGTGATTGACCTGTGAGAATACCCTGTAGCTGGGAGGCATTGCAGGCGCGGTTGGAGGCCATAACCGGAAGTTACTAATGAGTTGAGTTGGTGATGTCCGATCAATTAAATCACAAAAGATATGTAATTTTTGTTCGGATTATAAGGGATGGCCATATGAACTATTGAATGCCCAAATGAGCATGCTGGCTCATTTTCTTTTATTTCAGTTGAATATCCCAGCTGAACCTGGTCTAATGAACTGTTTCAGAGGAGAAACACAAACGCATAACGTTAGCTAATTGTTGTCTCGCGGTCGCCTTTATCCTCCTTGTGCTATGTAGCTCTAAAGCTTTTCAAACAACTGCTGTTTCATAGTTTCAATCCTAACCTATAGAATTTACCGATTGAAAGTTCTGCTGCCAAAATATTGCCGCTATCCAACTTCATACTTCACAACCTGGATGTGACGTTCCCTTTTTTAACTTTGAGATTTTGGATAAGAGGAAGCTCGGTTTAATCTGATTTATTATTTCCAGGAAAGAATCAAGCCAGTAGGAACCTGCAAACTGCAATCTCATGAAGTGGACATAAGAAGTTAGAAGGTTGCGACCGTGGCAAGCATCCCTGCAAAATTTCAGGTCCATGAGTTCTCCAATGTGGGCAACACCTTAATAATATACATCTGCAGATATCTAATTGCAGCCAGAAAATATTTCCTGAGACTTCAGTCATCAATGACTTTGACAAATTCACTTGGAAGTTTTAAATCTAGAGTCTAATAACAATGAAAGGATAACCTCATTTTTCTATTCCTAAACGGCATAAAACAGGAAAAGAAATCAAGGGCCGGGAGGATTTTGTGAAACGATCTAGTGAAACCATGAGTCCAAAATTAGAGAACTCCCAGTTTGGAGATACAACTCTGAATCTGAAACAGAGGTTCATCTGGTATAGACTACACTTGGCATGACTACTCAAATGTTTTCATTATATTTCCACTCCTTACACAATTGGAAGTTTGGAACTTTGTTTTTCTTTCCCAGTAAATCAAAGTAAATTTATAAAAAACAAAACTTTCACTTTAGAAGGGCTAAAGTAGTAGCTAAAATATTTTGGCATGAAAATTTTCTGTCAACATCATGTTGAAACAAGCACAAATAGCTAGTTCTTTTTTTTTTTTTCAAAAATCACATCCATTTTTCAGAGAAACAAATAAAATTTATGCTTGAAAAATCTCCATACAATCTTATGAACTCAAATCAACAAAGACTTGTCCCGTCTCTATTTGAATACTAAGGCAATGGTGTTAACAGTGTCTATAAAATAGATGTCATATTTCATAATATATTTGTTTTATGTAATACAATCTAAGGTGTAGAGGAACTAGAACCAAGTTATAAATTACAAGAGTTCTATTGCATAAGTGGAATATAAATTCAGGTTATATATAAATATAACTTGCATATGATGAACATAGAACATACATGGTTATGAGCTCCAAATTCCCGGCATCTATACCAACTTATAAATCCGATATTTGTCTTGGGTTTGATGTACATTATAAAGTTAAATCTAAATACCATACAACTTGCACATTGCATAGCACATTTTCTTACACTAGAATCTTTTAATCAAACAATTTTCCTTCTCTTCCCTAACCTATAACAGTTACATATATCATTTTACTTTCCTTATTTACATAATTACAATTTCTAAGTGTCAATACTCATGATACACAAACAAATTTATATTGTGAGTTTTTAAACTTTGATACACTCCTTTTTTTTAATATTTTCACAATAGATATACTAGGACTAGGAGTGGTTAAACCCCCTTGATTCTTTTTCTTTTTTTCTTTTTTTTTTGGTATTAATCAACTCTTTTCTTATAAATGATAATAGCAGGATTCGAAACCACACCACTTCAGGGACAATTCATCCATCGCACCAATTGGGCTACCCCTCAGTTGGTAGAACCCCCTTGATTCCTAGTATTTAACATTCCATTGACACTATTTTTTTGGTATAATACTTAGTTATACTTTGAGACTTGCTTATTTTCATCTCTACCATAAAAGTGATAAAACCATAGGCTGATTTTAGGAATTATAGTTGATAGGTTCTACAACCAAATTTTTTTCTCTAATAAGACATGAAAAAAAATTGATATATTACTTCAAAACAGGCAATTCTTTTTTTTTAACTCAAAATATTATTCTACAGGTAATGATTGAATAGGCAAAAGTAGTTGCTTTAATAGGCAAAAGTACCCATATGTATTTATCAATAAAATAAATAAATGGGGAATCTTTTCTCCTTCTTTATAGAGATGCATTTGGATTCTAAAAAATTATATAAACATTTTGTACATTTCAAAGTTCCACTTGGATTCAAGTTCCAGCTCAATTTAGCAAATGGTTAATTGGTTTTGGATCTTATCTCGCCAATAACTGGAGAGATTCCTTCATTCCACATTATGGTTGGTGGCGAGTCTGAACCATTGAACTTAGCAAGGAATTTGGCATGGTGGTAGGAGAGAGAGAGAGACATGTATCATCTGTGGGTAAAAAAATTTCAGCTATTTAGATTTGCTATCTAACTAGCAATCTTGTTTAACTAATCTTGCTACAAATATGAAGTTTCCTCATTTTTTCTAGCAATCCACATTTGCTACGACAGTGTGTGGCTGCCCTGCGCTGAAACAAATAAATCAAAGCCTTTGATTTATTGTCATGGCCTCTGACTTATAGGTGGGGCCACTGCAGTAGATGCAGTGTTAAATTTCTTTTGAAAAGAGAAACATTTGAAAAAGTTTTACAAACCATGAGGAAGCAAGAAGTTTGCTTCATTTAGTATTTTTTTTTTTTAACTACAAACTTTAGCTTAGGTGGAGAGGCGACCATCTTAAAATTTTATTAACCATAACATAGGGAAGATTATTAGAAATAGGAGGGGAAGATGTAGCCCGCCTTGTCCGAAACCCACGATAAAATGTTCTCAGTTTTGCCCTCTCAAAATTAGGGGTGTCTATGAAAAACCAAAAAATCGAAAAATTGAATTGATCGGTTCGATTTTGGTTTGATATTTTAAAAAACCAAAGGATCGGTTTAGTTTTCGGTTACCCTAGAAAAAACTGACAGTTAACTGAACCGACTGGTATATATTTATATGTATATTTTATATATATTTTAAATATATGTCACATATTTTCTATATGTTATATATAAATATATACATATATTATATTTATAATAATCTATTTAAAAATACATTATATATTTTTATAGTATTTATAATATATTATATACCATTTATTATTTATAATATAATATTATACATATATTTATATAATATATTATAAATATAAAAAACCGAAAAACCAATAAAACTGATTCAATTTGCAAAAATTGTCCATGGTTCGATTAACCGAACCATCGACATCCCTACTCAAAGCCCACCCAAAAGAAAATTAAGCCCAAACAAAACAAAACAAATTAATCAACACGCAGAACCGGGAGATTAATGTAATCCTCACGAAGAAGTCTTTAAGTCCAGCTGAGATATGAGAGCCAGTTCTAAGAGTGATGGGATTTTCTCTATGATATGGGAGTTTGCAAAGAAATTCACATAAGACGGCAAGAAAATGTTATGCAAGAAGACACAAGAAAACAACAAAAGCCAAAACCCTTGCCAAATGTGTGGAAAACTTCTTTTATCATTTGTAAGTCTTAATGAACATTTTTACCTTACCTATAGTTTACCAATTGTTTCATTTCTTACCTGGGGCTATTTCTTGATGCAATGATAAAATCTTGTGCTGGCAAGCGTGAGAACATGTGTTTAAGCTTAAGAGCAGCCCACCTTGTATAAATTTCTATTGAAAATGAAATTTTCATGTGCATACTTAGATTTTTTTTTTATTTTATTATTGGCTTTGTTTTTCTTTACAAATTATATTTCTTATTTTGTCGATCACCTTTATTTCTTTCCCTTGATCAAAACTTTTGGGAATGATATTATTCCTGTAAGTTCTTATTTATTACAGGTTTTTTTTCATATGATTATACTTATGTTTCATTATATATATTTATTTAATATTTTATCTATTTGGTGTATATATTATAATTTTTATCTTTGCATTGATGAAAAATTTAAAATTATTTTTTACTTTTATAATTTATTTTTTAACCGTTGTTTCTCTTAGAATTGATATTGTTAAGATGTTTGTTAATTCTGTGGTAAATTTCTTTTTTCAAAGGGGTGATATATATCTATTTCTCTTAGATTTTTTTTTCAATTGTAAGATGTATGTAATTTTCTTAAAATGTTCGAAGTAAAAATATTTCAATATCAATTTTTTGTTTTAATTACTCAAATATTATGACTAAGTTGATTAGGGGTGAAAATGGATTGGATCATGATTCGATCTGAATTCAAATATGATCCTATTTTGTTGGATTTAGATATCTCCTTTTGGATTTTTGGATCGGAGGACATAATAGGATTTGATTGGATCACCCTCTGATCCAAAAGAATCTATGTATAGGGGTGTGAATTGGACTGGATTTGGTCCAATCCGATCTAGTCCAATGTGAGTCCATTACAAATGGATTAGGTCCAATCCAATCCAATGAATATTTTGGACCAGTCCAATTCAATGTCTGGACGGTCCAATTTGTTCAATTAGTTTGTTTTAATTTAGATCAATTATAATCTGAATCGGGTCCATTGACACCTATGTTCTTATTTTCTATCAATGGACCAGACATTGGCTCAATCCAGCCCAATCCAATATAAGTCTACTATGGATGGGACCAGGCCCAATCCAATCCAATAAATACTTTAGACTATTAAGTTTGGACTGATCCAATTCAATGTATCTTTTTGGTCCATCCAATCTATCCAAATTGATTTTGATTTGGACGGGGTCCAATCCAAAACCGGTCTATTGACATCTCTCTCTCTCTCTCTCTATTATATATATATATATATATATATATATATATATATATATATATATATATTGCATAGATAGATAGATATAGTTATTTAGTTATTTGTAAATATATTTATATTGCATTTTTTGTAATTTTTTTTATAAAAAAGGCATATATATGATAAAATTAGTTGAAAAAATGCTTTTTTTTTGTTTTTCTCTATATAAATGGTTATGCTTATTTCTTTTAATAATTTGTTAAATTTTATAGAAATTAAATCAGATCGGATCAGATTTAGATTTCCACATCCTTAACGGATTCGAATTCAAATTGACCTTTATGAGATTTATATTATCGGATCAGACTTAAATATACCCTAATTCGAATCTGATCCAATTTATTTGCATCCCTGAATATGATAATGCTTGTCGCCCCCACTAACCGAAGGTCCTAGATCCGCCACTGCTTAAGACCACATATAGGTGGGACTTAACATAGGTAAATGGTCTTTTATTTTCATGTCTTTCTTACATGATTTCCAGTCTGTAAAGGTTTTAAGAATCATTTCTCCTTTATAATTCCGTTTCCTTCCCAATACCCCTCCCTAACCATAATGGCAGAAGTGAACAGAACTTTGAAGATAAGGGCTTGTATGTGGCTATGTGCCAATTTCGTAACCCTTTATATTATATTAAAATCAATCAGAGATTGAGCAGTGAACAACCCTTTATAACATCCAAATACTCCAAATGGAATTGTCGCCTCGCCAATGAATATTAATTAAAGAAAACGATGAGTTGAATCACTGTATGAGATTCTTAATGTTCTTGAGCAGATACATATATATAGATGAATTGAACAGTTTTTTGAGATGGTATCAGAATCTGTTTGGCCAAGTGTATAATTAATTAAAAATTGTAGCGCAAAACATTCACGCTTTAAATCTGATAGGTGTTCCGACGACATGTTATAGAATAAAAACCTATATATGTAAAAACTTCATCTAACAATTTAAGCTTTTAAGTTAAACGAAAAAATTATTAGGTCCAGGTACGTTTGAAATCATTGGATTGGAATGCATTACAGTCGTACCCCATTGAAATGGCATGAATCGAATTCCTTCCCGGCCGGTGCATAAGTCCCACCCACCTTGTGGTAGCAACACTACATGTGCAGTTGGCTGCTTGCTCGCAACAAGTCATGAATCTCTCTCCAAGTCTCATCAATCGTATAAAATTATGGCAAAGTCTGGTCACGGTCCCACAAAAGATACAGTTGCGAATTCTCCGTTGTGCTGCAAAAACTTTTATATAAATATACCACTCTTAATTAATCTTTTGAAAAGATTGAGGGGGCGTTCTTTTTATGGATTTTGATAGGGGGAATGTTGGTCAATGGGATTTTGGTTCCAAAGAACTTCATAAATTTTCATTTTCAGATTTATATGAAGATTAGGGAAAGTTTATTTTTTTGAGTATTGCTTACCCGGGTAAGTGATACCTGATGGTGCGCAATCCGGCCGGTCTTAGTTGTCAACAGGGGGCCTGAAACGGAGAAGAAAGTGGGGAATCTCCGGGGAGAAACCCGGTGAGATTGCTCCGAATCTTAAGTTAGTATTCTCTCAAAGGCAAGATAAAACCAGATGGCGCAAAGTTCACATACTTTGTTCTTGGGGGTAGAGAGCCTTTTATAACCACTTTGCGCACGCACTCCTAAGCTTCTGTCAGGTCGGGTATGATTATCTCTGCGCTCCTGCCAGTTCGGGTGTCATCACCTCTGCTGGGGCAGAACCGCCACTGCTCTTTTTGTCGAAGCCGTCTCTGTAACTGGAGATGGCGATGGCAGGTGGCGGTGGCAGGTGGCCGTTGAAGTGCGGCTGTCAAGCGTCATATCCCAAGTCAGTCAGGTGCGCCGCCCCTGGATACGGACTCCTTCGGTGTCAGGCACGGTACGGTTGTTCAATTCTGCGTCCTGGAGGCAAAGTGCTGGAGTGGTGAGCGAGGTGGTCTTGAGTTCGGATAGAGGTGTGTCCCGAACTGCTATGGGGCAGGCCAGTTCGGGTTGTTGCCCTTTGTGTTCATAAGGCTCGGGGCCTAAGGGAGAGTTCGGGCTCCTTGCGGGGAATTCAGGCTCCTTGTAGGGAGTTCGGACCGCTGGTTCCTCCTTTCGGAGCTTGCGCCTTGGGCGTGCTGTTGCCTTTGCCACGTGTTGAGTGATTACGAGGTCGGGCCAAATCTTCCTTCATCAATACCCATCTCCTAGGTGGGTAAATAACCTCTCCACTCAGGAGGAAAGTTGTCAACACTTGAATGGTCTAAAAATGCCCTATTTGATAATGGATTTGTATGGTTAAAATGGCCATTACTTTATTTACATAAAAAATAAAAGAACATGGATAAATGCACTTATCTGAGCAAGTGTTTCACAGGAAAAACTTACCTAGGTAAGTGCATTTAGCAAATAAGGCCCGATAGATATTGAATTAATCTCTAACAGTAACATATATGATTGGTAAGGTCTCTGCTGGGCTACCACCATTGTGTAGTCCTTTAAAAAATAAAAAAAAAATCGGTTTGCAATTTTTTTTCACCCAGAACGTTTCACAATGTCTTACTCATATTCAATGTTAAAAAACCAATAAACACTTCATTTCTTTCTAATAATATTATGGTTGGTGTTAAAAGATGCCATATTTAATAGAAGTATAATTATATTCAATTTCCTGATAAAAAGGAAACTTAATTGGTTGTTGATGCCCATGTTTCCTATATTTTGTTTTTCTTATTCAAAAAGCTACAAAATTTATAGGGGTGAAGAAGCAATCCGAATCTAGCTCCTACCTACAAGAACCCTACCCACAGGACAATCACATCCGCACATCTGGAACATATCCCATATATGAAGGACAACATACAAGTAACAGAAGATGTTCCTGATTTGTAGTTCTAATATCCAATGGGTAGGAGATCATAATTCCTCAAGAAGAGAAGCTTAATTAGAGGAGATGTGAACTAAATTTAACTCTCTATCCTGTAAATTCATCTATTTGGGTTAGATCCAAATATAAACTAGGTAACTTTTATTCACTTGATTCTTTTCAAAAAGATTTAAGGGGTCATTCTTTTTCTGGATTTTGAGAGGGGGGAAAGTTGGTCAATGGAATTTTGGTTCCCACTGACCAAGAATCACATGTTCTTTTTTTAGATTAATGTGGGAAAGTCTATTTTCCTAGGTATCACTTCCCCATCTCCTAGGTGGGTAAATAATTTTTTCACTTGGAGGAAAATTTCCAATACTTGAATGGGACAAAAATGACTCTTTTAATAATGAAATTTTATGGTTAAAATGGTCATTTCCTTTTTTTATTTGGAAAATAAAAGGACATAGATAAATACACTTAACCGGGTAAGTGTTTCTTAGAAAAAACTTATCCAAGTAATTACATTTACGGGAATAAATAACTTATCTAAAAGTGAACGAGGCCTAGAGAAGTAATAAGAAATGATATTACAGATTGATTAAGGGGTGGGGAGGCACGGCAGGTACACCCATGATGTCCATTGACCTTAACATAAAGAGCCTGCACCTAACGTGGGTTTGATCTCATGCCTATGTATACTCGAAGGGACACTGAATTGTACCCATAATTTAACTATAGATATGGCAATGCATGGAACAGAATGGCGAAACAGGATTCATGTATTGGAACAAGGCTTAGATGATGATAATGATGATGATGATGCCGACGTTTTCATCCCATTGTTAACTCAGACAGGTACCAACCCTTACAACTTTGAAGATTGAGGCCTGATTGCTTATTTACAAGTTTTCCGGTATCATAGTCGAAATTATTTTTGCCAATTCGATCAGTAATCAGCCCATTCGAATCGTAAAACTTACTGAATGAATATCATTTTCCAACAACACATGAAATTTCGTGAGGTTGATGGTGCCTCTTCTATGAATAGATCTGATACATGCAATAATATATAATTACAGAAAGGAGAAGCGTAAAGAAAGGCAAACCTTGATAAGAAATAAATACAAGTTTGTGGAATGAACCAGTGGAAGTTGAATGAGGTGACGAGGAGATAGTGATCGATCAATATGGAAATACGCCGTTTGGGGTATGAAAAAAGGACTTAAATTGCAAGAATCCGATCGAATTGCCACAAGTACGTAAGAGATTTTAACTATATGTCATCATGCTTTATTCTTTTTCTTTTCTCGATGAGAGTACGTAATTCGTGGGAGTAGAATTGATGTTTATTGATGATTTTCGAAATGGAAGATATCTTCTACGTCATGGAGCCCATCCCAGCTGGGAGGGACAGAATTTTCAACATTGTTGATCCAACATTGGCCAGAGTCTTCTTGCAGAGATGAGGATTCACCAGTGCTGCAGGATGGGTTGAAGGAGACTTCCAAAGAAATTGATGGGCTGTAATATTTTGTGAGGCTGCAGATTTCTGGATTATCGGAACTTAGTCCCATGTCCAACTCCTCCCACAGCATCTCATAATCATGCAAGAGATCGACTGTTTCATCTGAATCTGATCGACAGTTTTCTTGTAACTCCTTCTGAGGAACTGCTGGTATCTCCTGAAACCTACGAGTATCCAGTGGCTCAATCTTCAAACCTTCGTCTTTCTCCTGTTCAATTGGCTTATGGGTCACAGGGTCTAAGCCCTGAAGCTTCAATCTCTTCTTAATTCGTGTATTCCAGTAGTTCTTGATTTCATTATCTGTCCGACCAGGAAAGTGCGCTGCAATTTTAGACCACCTACGAGAGATTGTGGCAAATGAGTACTCAGAAATTAAGAACTGAAATTTGTATATAATAGCAGGTCGCTGTTTAATTATAACAGAGATGGCATATAATAACTTATAATGGCATGGCATGGTTTTTATAGGTGAAGGAGGTGGCATGATATAACTTATAATGGCATGGCATATACCTGTTACCGAGACGAGAATGGAGTTGGATAATCTGATCCTCTTCCATCTCCGACAACGCCCCTCTCTTGAGATCTGGTCTCAGATAATTGATCCATCTTAATCTACAGCTCTTCCCACATCTCAACAGACCTTCATCATCAACCATAAACCAGACGAGATATCATTTGGGTTGGGTTTCTTAGTTGTTAATTATATCGTAGAAAACTAGCTAGAAAATAAAAATCAAATGAACATATCTTTCTCTGCATCTGCAAGCACCTGCAAGCTTGGGGACGAGACGCCAGCACCGTATGCCATTGTTCAGGATGAAGTTCATGAGCTTGTGATCTTCCTCAATTGTCCATGGGCCTCTCTTCAATCCAATCTTCTCGCAACAAGGCTTTCTCCCCATTACACCAACTTCGTCGATGAAAGTAGATGACAGGACCAGAGAGAGAGAGAAAGTCAGAGAGTCCAGGCTCTAGAGATGGCGGTCGATCGGAGAATACAGGGGAGGGCGGCAAGCTTATAATTGAACCAAAGATGCTGCCAGTTCATCAACACGGAAAAGAAGTGTTGTTTATGAAGAATACATGATTGAACGAAAAAGAATCGGGCCACGGACGCTGATGTAATAATTATAAAAAGAATTGAAATGGAAGGTCGTCTCAGTTCTTACTGGTTACTGAGAAAAACAAAACCACAGAAGGACGGAGAGCGAAGAAGAAGTAGACGTGGATCATCTTTGTTGAGAAACCGGATTCAGTCAGTGCAAGCCTCCTTTGTTGACAAGTTTTATATAATTTGCATCCATCCAAAGCTCTTCTCCTATTGGCACTTTCCAGCTTTAAAACTAACATTAGTTAAAAGGATTCCTTGGTCCCCTTGTCGTTGGAGGCAAACTCTTCTCTGTGGGGAACAGAGGAGAGAGAGAGAGAGATGCTTTGTAGTTCTACAGAGATTAAATTATTACAAGTTTCATAAAGGGATTGCATCAAATAGCAATTGGAGATACGAAAATGGTTCAGTTTATTCATGCACAGTACTGACTTTTATGCATAGAGACAATGGAGTATGGCTAATGAGATGCACTTCCGACCAATGCAAATGAGTTTTGGTTGGGGAGGAAACTTGGACGTCCATTCTGTGCGGTTGGGCTGTTAACACGATTTGGTGTAACTTTTCTAATATTAAAATGATTGTGGGAATCACCGCCACCCACGGCCACGCCGGCCAAGATTCAGCAGGATCAGCAGGACAATTCTACTCTGTTTGGGTTACCAGTGACCCTATGCCTGTATGGCTTGATTTCCCAAAAATTTAAATAAATCTAATTCTAATTAGCAATATTATTATTTAATTAATTAATGTAAATTACTAAAAACCACACATGGAATTTGGTAATTACAATCATCTCTCTTGAACTTTTTTTGATACAGTTGCAAGTAGAGCCCTCTGTTCTAAAATATTCAAAATATCCATGTGGGTATTTGGACCAAAATGTTTCTTTTTCCTAAATTTTCTCTTCATATTAACCGCTACCCCAAGTCCTTCCGATTTCGTTTCCAAAATTAATTTATTTTTCAAATTCTTTTTTTGGTGTGTGTTGTTCTTAAAGTTTGTATTGTTTTTACCGAGGTTTTAAAAACTGGACGAGACACGGGATCGTTCTAGGGACCAGTTCTTGGGTCCAACAGTCCAGTTCAAACGGACGGCTTGTTTTAACTTAAAAAAATAAATAAAATAAAAAGCGGCAAAAAACCATTGTCCGGGTCGATGGGTCAATGGTTCGACTGCCTGGGTCAGTGGGTCGCTGACCAAAGCAACAGTTTTTGGCCAAAAAGCAGTTTTAAGGTGAAACAGAATTGATTACTTGACCGGTTCCCAAGTCAATTGGTTCAATTATTCGGTCCGGTTTTCAAAATCATGGTTTTTACTAGGAACCAGCCTCAATAGTAACTGCATGGATATTTTAGACATTTCCATTTCTCTTATTAAAGGATTTTAACAAAAAATAATTATTTGCAACTATATCAGAAAGTTATATGAAAGTGATTGTAATTACTAAACTTAATTTCAGCAATTTATCCAATTAATTAATATATAAACTGTTCGTCTGGGTTGGCCTTGAATTATGGTCTCCATATTTTGACTTGAGCCCAATATAAATTAGCTAAGCCCATGCCCAACTAGTTCATGAATCATGAGTCCAGGCCTGAACTGGCAAAGGTTGGTTTGTCTAATGCTCTAAGCCCTGTTTACCTGGGGATAACTTTGGTTGTTGGGGGCCAGAGTTTCTGGGTTGGGCACGTTCGCGGCAGTTCACCTATTCACTCCCATATTTTTGTTTTTAATCAAAATAAAATAAATTAAGAAAACAATTACTAATTTATCCAATCTCATGTGGTAAATTGGTAATGTAGCATTCCCAGAAACTCTCTCAACCAACAACTAAACTTTTTCCGTTTACCTGGGTTAATTTCTATCACTCTGTGACCCGGTCATAATTTTGATTCTAATCAATATCTAACCTGCAATATTACAGGAAAAAAAAAGAAAAGCAAAACCCCATTAATTTGTCCGATGACCCACCGGTCCAAATAGTTGAACTCTTGATCAACCCATTTATTAGGGGTTCATTTGGTGCATCTTTTCATACGGTTTTTTGGCATTTTATAAGTTGGACAAACCAATTTTTATTTTATTCTTGTTTGATTTGTAAAAGATCTAATCATCAAAAGCTAGAGTGCCAAAAAGACACAAAAAGTTCATTTTGAGCTGATTTCAGGAAGCTCCAAATGAAGCTCTTTACTCTTTTTACGTTTTGTTCTCGCACGAAAATATATGGAAAGACACGAATCTGTCAAATTAGATTTGGGTTGCTCAGCTCTTCATGCAAAAGCTCAATACATTTTTTAACTATCAGAGCTATTAGAAGATCTTCCCAAAAAAACTTGCAAAACGGGCCCTAGGTTGTTAGATTTTGGTAGACAATGAGGGTGAAACTGTGAAATTGGATCCAACCAACCATCTTTAAGATCTACTGCTTGCAAGGTTGTGTATAATGTAAATCAGATTTTGCAGCCTATTCTATCTATCCACAATTATATCTCCCAATACAAGATGGTGATGTGTGGCTGCAATTCAATACAGGTGTGGGTAAAAAATCTGGAGTGGTGTATAATGGGTATGAATTGACTGGAGACAATATTATATACAGTGGGCTCAGCAATTCATCACAAGCGAACATGCCACAATTCCATACGTATAAAGTATGGATCTCACGTGGACTTCATGTGTACGGAATACTGATGTATTCACTCGAAGTAGTTGTCCTATCCACAGTATATGATTTTGTCCCCAACCCATCCTGTTCATCCACTTCTATGCATAATGGGCTGAGACCAAATCAGCCCCCCACAGCTTATCCCTGCCTTGTATGGGAACATCTCGCGATGATAATCTCAGAAATGATGATGTCATCATCAGGAAATATTCCCAATACACAGTGGAGATATGATGTAGGACATTGTAGGGGGCAATCTTGTGGAGAGCTGATTTCAATCATAAAGAGAATTCAGATTAGCTGAATGTTTTGGTTGTTCATCGGACTATGGAACCAATGATGAGGTTTCATGTTAGTAATAAATTCTTAGGCCCCACTGTAAAAGGTGTAGGCCCCATGTATTTTATTATTGACGTAAAAATTTATTGTTGGTTTCACAGCCCACTGAACGGCCAAAGCATTCAGCTAAACCTTGCTCTCATAAGTGAATATACCTTTTATATAGCCTTGCAAGCAGAAGATTTAGGGGGCGTTCTTTTTTCGGATTTTGAGAGGGGGAAAGTTGGTCAATGGGAATCTCATGTTCTTTTTTCAGATTTATGTGGGGACCAAGGAAAGTAAGTGATACCCATCTCCTAGGTGGATAAATAACTTTCCCACCTAGGGGGAAAGTTGCCAACACTTGAATGAGACAAAAATGCCCCTTTTAATAATGGATTTTTATAGTTAAAATGGCCATTGCCTTATTTACATGAGAAATAAAAGAACATGGATAAATGCACTTACCCAGATAAGTGTTTCCCAAGAAAAACTTATATAGATAACTGCATTTACCTGAATAAATAACTTACCAAAAATCAAGCATCACCTTATATTCAAAATCAACCAGCTATTTAGGCTGAGGCCTGGTCTTAGACATAGCCCATATCAATCATCTTGATTCCTTCGCAACTAATGCTCTAAGGTGCTCGGGCTTATAGTTCATAGAACACAAGGGCCTGAAATCAGGGGCGGAAACAGGATTCATTTTTGGGGGAACCAAAATCTTACATGGATTGGTTGGGGAGAATATATGGATGGGGCCATAGGAGGCCAACCATCCATAATATAAGTGCAGATCAGATTAGTGGGGACCATGGTTCCCCTAGGTCTACCCTTACTCTGCCCCGAAAACTTTAGCGTCTCACATTTTATGGGAGCTGAAGCCATGAAGTGATACGCATTCCCATATATATGTGAGTGTGTATTGTAAGGAAACTAGTATTCAGCGAGATGAAGATTAAGTGGTTGATTGTTTGCAACATCTAATTTCAACTAAAACTTTGTATCTGAGACACAAGACATGTACAGCAGGCTACAAACCTCAATCAGGAGTAAATATGTCTTACACATTTTATTCTTGATTGGAATTAGGTTTTGTTGCACTTTGTATGTAAGTATGTAACACATCTGAGAGTCAATAAGGTTTGATTCTCACCAAATAGTTGACATATTTGCTCTCATTACCAAGTTTTTAAAAGGTTAAAAGACATAGTTGAGGCATGATGGCTCAAAAAGGTGAGGCATTAGCCTAAAAAAGATAGAAAAAGATTAATTAAGGTTTATAAATAATAAAAAAATTATATATGATAAATTAGGTTAGAATGATAGAATTTATAACTATAAGCATTCATATATAGAAGTTTATAAACAACAAATTTTAGGCTTTTAGCATTCAGTAAAATAACAACAAATCAACTAGCAACTATAAACATTTTCTATTTCAAGTTCCAAAATTCAAATTTCTCAAATTATTCAAATGACCAATCATATGTTTTAAATAATCAAAACTTTTCCATCATCATGAATCATCCATATAATTGATACTAGATTTTTTGTTACACGGCATTTTAGAATTAGGGAAGCAACTTAGTTGGTTTAATCAATGTAAAAAAAAAAATAAGGTATGAAATCTGGAAAAGAATTGAAATACAAAAATCAGGTAAACTACATTTGTGGATAAAAGAAAATAATGACAAACTTAGAATGTTAAATTTCTACTTACTGAACTTACTGAAAAAAAAAATCCCGCTTGATTTGACCAAGAATGAAAAAGAGAAAGATGAAGGGTTTTTTTTTTTATTCTTGTTGCATTGAGCTCCTTGAAACCCTGAGATAAACTAGGAACTCAATTTGTTCTATGGTTTTCATTTTGATCTTTTTATTTGGCCTATAATTTTTAAAGTTCCCTTTCCCATTTCCCAAGTGTTTTAAA